CCCCCCCCCCCCCCCCCACCAAAAAAAAAAAAGGGTTCCTACATTAAGCACTTTCAAAATGTGACCTTCACAGCATGCCCAGTGTCATTGACTGCCCCAGAACCTTCTCCATACTCACGGGCACACGGCAGACCAACCCTTCCCTTAACCTAGCTGTCAGGGGCTACCTCCATCAGATAGCAGCCATCTCCTTTGGAATGGTCACCTCAGCAAAGGCAGATCAGTCACAGAGGTCAGATTTCATGTTGTGTTACCTGTATTGTTACAAAGCAAAACAAAATACACCCAAGGGAATGAAGCAGTGTTGAAAGTCACCATCTACCAGTGCTTCTGTCCCTTAGGCATAATTAATTACAATCCTGCTACAGCACTGAACAAAAAAAATGTTTATTCCTATTCCTGGGTTACAAATGCCAGTACCATTGCTCATTCCAGTTATTTATTTTATTACTATGAAGAACACAATACTGTTGTTTCGTCTCCTCCCTTCATCATGCAGGCCTAACAGCACCCCACCCAAAATGGTAGCTCACAGCGCTGAAGCCAAGCCAAACAGGAACGCCAGTACAGCTGCCTGGTGACAGGCCGGGGGGGGGGGGGGGGACGTCCCCGCACAGGCGTGTGCCGCTTCCGGTCAGTCGGGTTCGTTACGATTCCGTGTCGTTCCGCCAGAAGGATAGAGGATATACATCTGCAGGTGCCACTGGGTCCAGTTACCACATGCCAAATGGTCACAGGCTGCCCCACAAAAAGCCATGTCCTGGGGTATCTCTCACACACACACACACACACACACACACACACACACACACACTTCAACCATATGGTTGAATTATCTTCAAAGAAATTCTGGTTCCAGGCTTTGTTTAAACAATATATTAAATAACTCTGCTCAGGCATGCACACATCCTAGAGGCATACAGTAACAGGAGCCCGGCGTGTAGAGAACATGCTGACAGACCACAGCAGCCAGGGAAACGTCGGACCCAACCCACACCACTCTCCCTTATGTGGGAGTCGGGTTAGAGGCAGATGAGATCCAGTTACTGTGCCCTGGTCCCTGAGCTGCAGGTACAGAAAGATTCCCTCTCGGGAGACAGGCCCATACAAGCGGCAACGCCCTGGTCATCAGGGCCAGAGGGGCTTCGGGGTGCATCTGAAGGTCTCCTTCACACCTCACAGGTGCTGCACACTTACAGCGGGTGCAAACCGGTCTCACAGGCCACACCCAGAGCTAAGGGGCAATTCCTATACATCAAATTGCCACGGGTTTGGATTTTCACAGCATCATTCTCACCAAGCAGAAGGTAATATAAAACACAAAATACGACAAAAAACACTCCCACATCCTGTCGCATTATTCAGAACCGTCACCCTGCAAACAGCCACTACCACCCCCCCGGCCCCCAGAACTTTCGATACATCTGACCACCTTAAACACTGGCATTCACCCACAAGCCACCAACAGCCAATCACTTCCTGCAGAACAGTTTAGTGTCACTGGTTACCTTCAAACCCTCAGTTTTCAAGTAGTGTATTAAACAGCCACGATTACAGGGTCTGAGCATTAAAAATACAACCAGCCATCACCTCATCCGACATCAAAAGGACTGGTCTGGAACCAGAGTGTTCCCCAGAAAACAGAATCCAATTAATTATACGAAACTACACCAAAACCAGTAATGCTTAACCCAACAATGCACTCAATTAACACGCTGAGCCAAGAGAAAGGGATAGAATAAAAAGCTTTAATTGCAACAAAAAGAAATGCAGGACATTTTCTTAAGTATGTAAAAATTTCCATTTAGAATCATTACATAAGCATTTCCAGCACCTTATCTTGGCCTTCGTGCGCAGAATTAGCTAGTGTGGTACAAACTGCTAAGAGCCCCGTCATAGTAAACAGGCCACAGAGCATTTAAGCAGCTAGACACAGTAGGCATGTAGACAGAGAGACTAAACTGATTAAACCCCCTTTCCAGTTAAAATGCGAGGCAACCGAAAAGTAAATTCAGTCCATGAAATTGCTGGATTACAAGAACAAACGTGTAGGAGGTGCAGTCAAAGGTGGGGCGGGGGGCTTACGTGGGTCCACCCTTAAGAGCGGACATTCATAACAATGTAAATTCTAGCAAGAACCTCATAGCGCCCAGGCATCTAAATGCTCCTTCAAACAGCTTTCACGGCAAGAACTCTGCTCTTCAGCTTGCTTAAGTATTGCTAAAAATCTGACAGCCACAGAGGGAAAAGGGGGTTACATTTACAACTCTGTACAGGGCAGGGCCGTGCCGGGCTTGTGGCACCAGACAGAGTCAGTGTCAGGGATCATCCAGGTAAACTGCACAGGTTACCAGACAACACAGCAAGACTTCCTTCTGCCCCTCTTACCTGCAGCATGAAGGCCACGCAAATTAAGATACGTGCTGCTGTAGGCGACAAAGACTGTCGCCTGCAGCGAAACCAAAGCAGGATGCACTGCACAGAAGAGGCTGCGTGTGAACCAGGTCACCGTCACACAACCCTGAAAACACTTAGGTCATCCACTTAACTCTCAGACAGGAGCGCTACAGCTACAAGGAACAGGCAGGACGCCAACAAGATACATGCATAAAGCCAGCAAGGCAGAGGAAATACCACCACCACCCCCAACCACCTTGCAGGAACCTGAAAACATACTAACCAGTTAAAACTCATTTGTGTCTCAGAGGGAGTGTCAAAAACTAGTCTAAATAATAGGTTTTAACCAAAGCATAATGTCTTCTGGTTTCAAAAGGAATCCTTTGGGGCAAACTCACTGACGATGAAGCAGCCATGTCAAATACAAATAGATTTGACTTCATTCACACGTGGCTAAAATCATCACTACACATTTTAGAGTGTAGTTCTTGGTGTCTTGGTATATGCCAGGCCACCACGGTACAATTCACATTAATTAACCCCCAACCCCATACATGCACACACACAATTAATCGCGATTACAGATTCACATGAGTCACCAGATTCTGCCTGAAGAAGATCCCATTAGAGAGAATGGTAAAAAAAATAACGACAGCTTCAGGAGGGCTGCACGGCGAACTGGCCACTTCGCTCCTTTACATTTAAAACCATTTCTGTACAAATCGACCGTGCATGACCGGCATTCAGCATGACAGACGGTTGAAAGTTTATCGTTAACTTTTTTCCTGGCGGATTTGTAAAACCGCAATGGATTCGAGCACCAAAGGCTGCAGTCCCAGTGACTTTAATCGGAAATGAGGCCCTGGGCATATAGAGGGGGAAGGCAGACTGACAGCCTGTAATAGCAAAAGAACCTAAATCCGACAGCAAAATGCAAGATATGCGATCGGCCATCAGGGTTTTCCAGGCCGGCGCTCGTGACGCAGAGGCTGCCGGCTCCGCCAGGCTGCGAGGCGGCCAAAGCGCACCGGGTTGGCCCACAACGGGCTTCTCCTCCACCGCATACATCCGCCAAACCGTCCCGGAGACTCCCCGCGGCTCACGGCCGCATCGACACCAGCAGTAGCTGTATGTACGCCACCTAAGCAACCTCCCCCCAACTCCGCCGCCATCCTCCTCCCTTCCCCGCTTCCTGCGTTTGCAGCCATCCCCCAGGCCCGACGGAGCATATATTCCCCCCACCATAAGCGCGCAGGAGCCCCCCAACTCACATCTTTCCTGTCCTGCAGGCACTCCAAAACGGCCAGGTTGTTGTTCCAGGTGTGTTTCGGACAGAGCCGGGTCAGGTCTTCTCGACAGGCCTCCTCCTCGGCCAGCTTCCAGCCGGCGGCCCGGCGGGACTGCGAGACCCCCGGCAGGTTCCCGCCGCCCGGTTGCTGCAAAATCCCGCGGGCGTTTCCGTTGCCGTTCTGCTGCCGTTGATCCGCCGTGGAGAATAGGCACGCCGTGAGAGACATCAACAGTAAGATAAGATGAACACGTCTACACGCCGCCATCTTCTGAGGGACTGCTACAGCGAGACGGGCGAGAACGCCACCCCTGTTTAAAGCGTCAGCCTGCGCCCGGTGGGCAGGCGCGCAGCTAGATCTACGGAGTGTAGATCGCGCCGATAGCGATGCTTAAGAAATATTTCACAGGGTATGCGCTACTTTTGCATTCATAATAGCAGTCGGATAACTTCAAAAAAAAGTTATTGGATTTTTTTAACGTTCGGTTCCCCAAGAAACCACTCTTCTAGGTAACTAGAGGTATCCAGGAGGAAAGGGCTGTGCAGCTCTAGTAATTGTATATCTAGTATCTGCCCCCAGTTCCCTTTATCCTCCTCCTCCTCCTTTTCTCCTCTTCCTGTGTGTTTTGTGGCTCTGCGGACCACCGCAAACAACATCCTGCAAATGCTTGCTGTATTATAAAAAGAAACGAAGGAAGTGTTTGCATGAAGTGGCGTATTTGTACGTGTTGTGTTATGATTTGGTGATCTCGGGTCTTTTAAATCCATATACATTTTTTCCAAGTGAATTAATTTGTGACTTTGGCGTAATTGTCAGATTACCATTCTACAGTGAATATAGTGTTTTTTTTTAATATTTCATATGTATCTCACGCAAACACAACTAAGCACTTAAAGTCCTATGTTGACCATAAAGTCCTATCTAGGTTGCGTCGTTTATGATTATGATTATCATGAAATTAAATATCTTCTGTTCGTTCACGCGTCTTCAGCGGTCTTGTATTGCAAGCAATGTAAAGCTGTGAAGACAGAAATATTGTCCTTAATTGACATTCAGAATAATAATTTAGCCTTAAACGCACTTAGCTTCGGTGAAAGGTCACACAAGAGAAACTGTAATAGAGAGATAGTTAAACTGAAAGATCAGCAACGTTACAGGCAGCGGTGTCACCTTGCATTTTATAAAATTCACATTTGTAGAAGTTCATAAATCAACTAGAATGAAATTTCTAACCATTATCGATCATGATATAATTCACGGCAGAACGCAAGTATTTAAAGTTTGAGTACCTGCGTTTGAAAAATATCTACATCTTCTGGTATTCCTAACAGCATTTATGTACTTTGGTTGGAAGGTGAATGAAAATAAATTACAGCAGGAATCGTGTTAAAACAAAAATGTAATATCTTCAGACATCAGAGAACACATCCCATTGAACATATGACCTGCCTTCGCACCGATGGTGACAGGAGCAAAATATTTTTAAAAAGGTCCCGTTTGTTTTCGCACAAAAGGTACTTTGAACTTGTTAAAACATGTTTCCTCATTTTGTAAATATTCTCTATTTAATATCATCAAATATCACACACACTTAGCTCTTGCAGGAGATATCCTTTTGCCAGATTAAACCTACCCTTCTGGTCCCTGGGAAGCTCCAGGTAGATTCTAAAAGGCACATCCTACCAGCCCCCAAACATCAATTTAATTGCTTTGTTGAGAAGATAGCAAAACAATGTCCCACTAAGTTTAAGTCAAGTGCCCATGTGACAAGGAACCATGACGAAATGAAAAGGTGCAGAATCAAGGAACCCAAATATGACAAGTGTCCCCAGGTGTTGTGAAATTTTTTTTTTTCTCTTCTCAAAGCATTGAAGGATGGAGAGATTTGCTTGTAGGTAGAGCAGGTGCCGGCAGCGTGGGAGTGTCACTGGGTCGGAGGTTTGCATGGTCATAACACAGCATATCACATGCGATACTGGTGGGGATTAGGGTTAGCTATCCTCGCAAGATACTGGTCACTACACAAAATCGTAACCGTAAAATAAAATATTTTATTGTAAAACAATAATACAATGGGAAGGAATACTTACATTCATACAAAAACACATACATATGTATAAATTTGTTTTTTTTTGGGGGGGAGGGGGGGTAAGGCAAAATCCGCAGTCAGGACCTTTACAACAACCTGCAAGGTGGGAGTTAAAAATAATCCCCAACTGGTCTGCAAATCCCTGCTCTATGGCAGTAACAGACCGGCACAGACCTGACTCATGGAGAAGTGGGTGAGAACAGTGAGAGTGGCTGTGATGATCTGGAGATGCTGCTTTTAGGGACACCTGCTTGGCAGGGGGGGTTTCTTCCTCTACCCAAGGAGAGTGATGTCATATTGGGGCATGGGGACTGAGTACTGCCACATGTCCTTGCTGGAACAATTTTGATTCTTCGAAGTGGCTAAAAGTATTTTGCCGCAAGATGCGAGTTAGACACCTCTACTTCAGCCACAGATCATTAACGAAGAGCAGTTTCCTCCTTCAGGCTACAGTGTCTCCAGTCTTCTTTAAAGGCCACTTGCACAATTACCCCTCTAGGCCCCAGATACTATCCAAAGTAAAAAGGACCACAGCACTTATTCCTTCAGGTTCGCAAAAACATTGTTAAAACCTGCTTTTACCACAACAGTGCATACTAGACCTCTTAAGTTTCTTATTTTCAGACACACTACAGCTGTTTCCCAATACAATCCTTGAACACCCACAGTCGGTCCACTTTTTGCTTCCTTCCAGCAGGGAACAAAAATGTGGAATTTCTGGTAAGGAGCTTGGAGGGAGCAAAACATGGACCAACTATGGTTCCCAAGGACTGGATTGGGGAACATTGCACTACAGTCCTGGAGGGAGCAAAACATGGACCAACTATGGTTCCCAAGGACTGGATTGGGGAACATTGCACTACAGTCCTGAAAATAATGACACTTCAGAAACCTACTTCTTTGAGGGATGGAACAAGGGCTCAGTTCAACATTAAAAATCCCAGTGCCATGCTGCACATAAACATTTGAACCAGCAGTAGGACCATCATTGGCTTTCAACTCCAAAACATGCTTTACTATAAGGCGTTTAAGTGTTTAAAAAGAAAAACCTGTGGTACAGCAAAAATACATACCAGATAAATAATATGCAGAATGACTGCCTAAGCTGGTGTTCCCATAATTGACTTTCGGAAACAAAAATGATTAGGTGTCGGGATACAGGGGCTGCTTGCTGGTAAGAGGCAGGAGAGAACCAAGAATAGAGATCTCACACCCAGGCCAGCGCCTCCATAGTGGCACGGATACTTGCACGCAATCCACAGCAGGTGACTTTCATTTGGGATCCTCTTGACAGCAGGACCACTGTGGTGTCTTAGAGATTCTATTTACAAGTCTACCTCAAGAAAACTCCTCTTCCGTGCAGCATGATAGAAGGCTGATGCAAACATGTCCACATCACAACTGAGCGGAACGGTAGTCTGCTGCCCAGTACAGACCGCTACCTTGGAAATGCGGTCCTCCACTCAAGATCAAAACACATCCCTCTCTCCACACCTGTTCCATAAACTGGGATCTTAGTGCATGTTTGAAACAAACGCAAAGGCTACTGCCCTCAGCCTTCTGAACTCTCAGCCATGGTCCAAGAGATCACTCCCACTTATAGATCTTCAACATCTTTTCAGTCAGGGAGGCCAGGAAGCTACCCTGGTTCACCTCAAAAGGACAGATATCCAGGACTGGCAGATCAGCCGGAAGCTTCTGGATTAGGGCCCTGCTACTTGCATCCCATACCTAAGGAAGAAAAGTGAAAATTTAAGGGTACTTTTGCAAATGGTGGGGGGCTAAATGCTGGAAGAATAGGGACTGTAAATTAAATTAGAAGGCTACAGGCTTGTTATATCACTAATATTCAAGCTCATACATCTGGTTGAGAAACCAGATTTTACACCGCATGGTAACCTGCACAGTAACCACTAATTCAGATTTCTGTCATTTGGATTCAAAGCTCAGAGTCGTTCTCAACCTCAGAGTTGAGCAGGATGGCTCATACGCTCGTGGTTTCAGGGCTCTCACCATGGTGGAGCTGGAGGCCTCGTCCCCAGCGCACACCAGCATGGAGCCCTCGCGTGAAGGGCTGCGGAACACTGCGTTCTTGGTTAGCAGCTTGCAGGACGAGCCGGCGGTGAAGGTCTGGACCGGGCAGCAGAAGCAGGAGGGGTCCTGCGTGTCATCCTGTTGGGGTGTCCTGCTAAGCTCCATCAGAACACAGCGCAGGGTTGGGTTGGAGCGCCCTGGACCAAAAAGGAACCAAAACAGAGAAGTTGCTAAAGACAGTAGACTCCCTATCTTCAAGATCTCATTTACCAAGCACATCTGCCACCCACAAAACCCCAAACCAACACCACAAGTGTCTACAGGAATAGCTAAGAAGGACGTCCCCTTACGCACAACGATCTTCCCAGGCATGCAAACCACAGTAGTAATTGTATTGCTGCAGAAGCCTGTGAAGTTCAACATGACCAAATGCCAAAACCCAGATAAGAGACACCCCTGCTGTACACCAATGAATGAGGCAAGGAAACTATTACATTTTAATCCAATGTCATTGATTTGAGAAAAAAAAAAAAAACCCTTAACCAATATTGAGAAGGCAAAAGCACTTTCATCCACTGAACCAGCAGAAATGTATAATCTTTTCAGAAAGGGACCACGCACACACACAGACATGCACACAGACATGCACGCGCATACACACACACGCATGGACACGTACGCGCACACACACACACACGCATGGACACGCACGCGCGCGCACACACACACACGCGCATGGACACGCACGCGCACACGCATGGACACGCACGCACACACACACGAACATGTACGCGCACACACACACTCGCATGGACACGCACGCGCACACACACACGCACGCACACACACACACACACACACGGACATGCACGCGCACACACACGGACATGCACGCGCACACACACGGACATGCACGCGCACACACACGGACATGCACACACACACACACGGACATGCACGCACACACACTCGCATGGACACGCGCGCACGCACACACACACACACAAATTCCATATAAGAACACTTGTCAGACTTGCAGGAGCAGAGGAAGGTAGCACTATAGATTTACAGGAATACTAGGCAGTTTAATGCGTGTCTGTATTGCCAAGACCCCAATTCTGACTCATTCAGTGGATCTAAAAATAAATGTATTCTGTTCTGCCAATGACTGAGCGGTCAGCCAGCTGAACCAGTCTACCTGAGCGACTGGTCAGCTGAGTAAAGGATTCTCACCAGGCCGGTAGGTGACCAGGCAGTGCCGGGTTTCAGGCTCCACCTGGATATCTGTACAGCCCCCCGTCTCCAGTGGAAGCACATGGGGCCTGTAAGTGCTGCTATTCACCTGCTCCCAGAAGCACCCCCCTTCCAGGGAGCCGGCGACGAGGCCCCCACAAGGGAAGGAGCTGGAGGCGGCCCGGGGCACATAGGACAGCGAGGCCACCGGACACCTGGAAAGGATCAGAAGTCAAAGGTGACATCACTCCGCTGGAACGCAAGACCTGTTCAAACACGCCAACATTTTCAGAACTGGCCCAAACAGGACACAATGTTGCCGTTCTTTGGGGAGTTGAAAACTGAGAGACTAGACATTCAAATCTGTTTCAAGTTTACATCCTTGGCTTAGGAGTAACAGGACAAAATTATTTTACAAAGAAATCATATTCCTCAACTAACCACTCTCCTGCCCAAGCCATACGACTTCCTTTCTGACCCAGTGAGACTCACCTGGAGCCCAGGGGTACCAGCTCCTGGACATGGGTACTGGTGTCCCGCGTGTCGTACACCAGCACGGAGCCGTTGCTCAAGCCGGCGTACACATAGTTGCTGTCATCCAGGCACCAGCAGCAGCTCCAGACCGGCCGGCCCGTGTTGTACGTCTGCACCACCGTGTTGGTCAGCAGGCTGCAAGATGCAGAAACACAAAGACAGGCTGTCAAACCAAGAAAATGCAAATCCTGATTTATTTGATGCCAACTGAACAAAAAATGAAATTTACAGGAGTCCATCTGCACCAGGCAGAATTAAGCCAATAGTACTAGACAGACAAGTCTTCAGGAACAATGGTAGTGTTTCTTTCAGGTCCACCAACGACCCACATATTGAAAGTGAACGAGCAACTTATGTTTGCTTGGATAAAGACACCAATGCATTTCTGGTTTTGCAGTTGGATAATACACGATTGCAACTGGTCCTTCATCATTCCATGTGAGCCATGATCTTTGTCACATCTGGAGTACCTACCCAGAGGAGTAGGAGCAGCCATTTTGGGTAAAAGCTCACACACTAGATCAGTGTTTCCCAATCTGGTCGTAGGAGACCCACAGTTGGTCCATGTTTTCGCTCCCTCCAAGCTCCCTGTCAGCAGTCCACATTTTTGCTCCCTCCTAACCCCCGGAAGGAAAAACATGGATTGTCTGCAGGTCCCCGGGGACTGGACTGGGAAACACTGATCTAGATGCTTGGCTGCACAGATTGTGACATGACTGCTTGACAATTTGATTAATGAAGAAAAGAAAATCACCATAATCTCACTATGGTTCTATATCCCAGTGACACATCTAGCTGCATTTGGAGTAGAGCCTGAACGCATAACAGGTGCAGCAGGCCCAGTACCTGGTGAGTTTGACCGTGTTGTCAAGAGCCGCGGAGAGCAGCAGGCTGTCTGCCTGCCGGTTGAAGGCCAGGCCTCTGATCTGCTTGGCGTGGATTGGCACATACTGACAGGCCTTCAGATTTACCACGCTGACCTTCTTTACCCCACATCCTGGCATAAGGGAGAAACAGCAACATCCAAAATCACCCCGTTTAATGACGGGATTATTTATTAATAGGGAACAAGTGCCAAGTCTATGATCACCAACAGACAAAAACGGCCAGTTCTGTTCAGAGAAGCTACAGTAGAATGAAAGTTTAAAGCATAACACGCCATGGAAAAGGATTGCCAAAAATGGGGGGGGGGGCACTCACCCGGCACCAGGGTGGCCTGTGGTGAAGGCTGGGAGGCCAGCAGGCAGCTGAGGGGCTCGCAGTAGGACAGCACCCGGCACCCGCCCGTCTGACACAGCAGCACAGCCTTGGTGAAGACATAGTGACCACCGGCCGTCGAGGAGCCTGCGGGGTCTTGGTGATGGGAGGGGCCCACCTGGGAGGGTCCAGGACCCTGCGAGGAACTGCAACCCGTCTGAGCCATCAGACATTTCAGCTCCTGCAGAAGGAAAATATCGATTTACTTTTACCATCACTGATGGCATAACCATTGCTCTCCATTCAATAAGACCAAACTGGGCGAGGGACATCCATCCATCCATCCATCCATCCGCATTTCCGAGCAGCTAATGCACGGGAACTGAACCACAGAGACCAATACCTTGGGTCCACGGAAATACCTGCAGCTGTTTGCGCAGTTTCCCACACTCGTCCGTCAGCACCTGCAGCTGCAGCCGGCACTGCGCAGACTCCAGCTCGGCCTTCCTGCGAAGAGACTGCTCCTGCTCCAGGGACCTGATTGTGCAGAAATCCCGATTTTTAGCTTAAAAAATTAAAGGGTGCTGTAATATATGCAACACCATCACCTCAGGCTAACAGCCCCGTCCTCAGACGCACCATTACTGAGCATGCTCAGTGATCCACAGAGGGTAGGGTGAGGGAAGTGGGCCCCGTCCTCAGACACACCATTACTGAGCATGCTCAGTGATCCACAGAGGGTAGGGTGAGGGAAGTGGGCCCCGTCCTCAGACGCACCATTACTGAGCATGCTCTGTGATCCACAGAGGGTAGGGTGAGGGAAGTGGGTCCCTTACCTCTTCATGCTTTCTTGCTCAGTGTTGTCCAGCACCCTTAGCTTGTGAGCATACAGCAGAACAATATCCGAGCGCTTAGCCTTCTTGTTACACTGTGGAGATAGAGGTGGGCTGGAATTCAGTGGAGCATACAGCAGGCTGTGGAAGCCAAATCTCATTTTTACACTCCAAAGACTTAAAAGGCTTCATCTGCACATCTGGTGTGCAGACCCAGCCCAGTATGACCACAAACAGCAGAGGCTTCTCCAGCTGTCATTAAACCACTAACTATCCCCACGCACCACGAGGGCAAAACAAACTGACGCAATTATGCTAACGAACCTCAACACCCAGCTGGAGCAAAGACCTGCAAGTAACCTCACACAGAACCTTCACTTCAGAGCTTAATTACGCTAAAGTTCCGTTACACTCCCCATATTACTTAAGAAAAAAGGGCTACAGCTAAAAAGCTGAACACTAAGGGCTCAGGATGACTTAAAAAGTACCTAAGACATGTACAGTACCCAGCAAAGTACCATAAATAACCGCTCATATATCACTGAACCCGGCCACCCCTGTAATGACGTAGCTGATGGTTCAGTCCGTTTCCAGAGGTGGGTGACATGGGGCGGGACCCCCACCTGGGGACACTTGGCTCCTTGCCCCTTCAGCCAGCGTTTGATGCAAGACAAGCCGAAGAGGTGGCCGCAGCGCAGCGTGGCGAGCCGGTGGTCCCCGGCTGTGGTCCAGGGTTCGAAGCAGATGGAGCAGATCTCCCCCTCTGTGTCCCGTCCATCCTCTTCCTTGCCGCTAGCAGGCAGAGCTGCTTCAGCCGGCTGAGATGACGGAGACAGACACGAGCCACAGGCAAAGACAAATCAGGGACGTTCCTGAGAAACTTTACTGCTTGGGAAACAGACAAACATTCAATAGTATCTTTACAGGTCCCTCTAACACGCAACTATTTAAGGACTTCAGCAAAACCTTTTAAAACTCTAAATTCTACATGTAACGCAAGACTGAGTATAGATTTACACATTTCCTGCTAAAGTTAATGATTAATATTTCCAGGCTAGGGCTTTGCTAAGGTCAATGATAGCTGACATATTAACTCAGAAAACGCTACCACCGGTCATCTGAACAGTTACTGAATAACCACCGCCAGAGTAGTCACAAAGCATTCTGTAGCCACATTAAAACAGAGCTAACAAGGTCTGCATCAAATGGCATTTGGCATGGATATACAGTTAAATAGCTATTAAACTGGAAAGACAGTGAAGTGCAGCAGCCGCGCCTGACCTGAGGCTCCTCTGTGGTTGCAGGTGGTGCCTCCTCGTTCCCCGCAGCGACTGCACCACCTGTAACACATGCACCACAGTTCATGCAGATAGTGCGTTAAACGCTTAAATTCGTATGAAATACCGAATATTCTGTGCATGTCAAATACCATTAGAGTTGTGTTTCTGAGAGGAGGGAGACGCATTTCTTGAACGTCGGCTGTCATAACAGGAAACGCATCGATCTGTCCTTATTGAGGGACATGACTTTCGCGAGCCTTGACACACTTAGTTAAGAGTAGTCCGCAGTTTATTTAACTGGAGAAATGTGAAATGGCCGTCTTGATTATTATTTAGGACATACTATTTATAACCCCCACAAAAATATCTGGAATTGCTAATTACCCTAATTGTCACAGGTGTCAACTGGAAACAGCCAAACTTAACAAATAGACTAACACATCTGTGCCTTTTAACATTCTATAAAGGCTTCTGCAAGACGTTTGTTGTAGCACAACCGGAGAAGCGCAAGATGGAATATTCTACATACAGCCCTAAAGGCAGCCGGTCAACAGCAGATCTACCCAATAGATCACAGATTTCAGTTCCTCGGGGGCCTCAGCCAACAAATCCCCTTTGTCGGACACCATATATGTCAATGGGAAAACCCCCCATGTTTTGCAGTGCTTGCATAGGTTAGTTTAAATGTTTCCATCTTCTCCATATTAACACAGCCCTGCACTTTCATGTCCTGCCTTTCCTTGTCAGTGAGGCTGTATCCTTGTAATCGTACCTTTTAAGGTACAGAAATGGACTCTAAGGAACATCCCAAAGGTACAAACAGCATTAATGTACCATCAATGGTACAGAAATGTTCCTCAGAGTCCACACCTACAACTAGGGTACAAATGGCAGACCCTTGAGGGTACAGCTCAAGTGGCAAGCAAAGGTACCAGTTTTTACCCTTTTTTGGGAGTGTGTGGTAATCATTCAACAGATACTTCATGGTTCTTCACACAATAAGCAGGACTTTAGGTGTTAGGTCCAACAGCACAACAAATTTAACATTCGTATAAGGCTGTTTCAAAGTTGAAAACAGTCATCATGTAATCACTTCTCCCTTCTACCAAATAAGTATATAAAGTCCAAATATGTCACTAAAGTGGAATTAAATATATATGACATCATCAGCAGTTCATAATGACTCATGACTTAAGTAAATTCATCTTGTTTGCTGAGGAGACCCCATAGGAAAGCATTCAGAGAGGAATAATACATTGTTTTAAATAGCCCAGCTGAATAAAATACATAGCTCAGATTTTGAGTTCAATGTTCCAGGCCAAACCAATTTCACTGGGATCAAACGGGGCTCCAGACTGACAAATCCCATTCGTGGCTCGTGCTCCTTAAAATTTAAGGAGCATCAGCACAAAATTTAGGCGCAACACTTAAATCAACAACGCAACACATTTAACTAAACTGTATTACTGTTAAATATTCAATTTACAGAAATAATATGTTTTATTTAGTAGGGTTTTAATGGAAAAAATATTTTTATTTGTATAGCGTATTTTCACAACATTACATTGTCTCAAAGCACTTTACATTATCCTGCCCAAAGCCCCCAGTGAGCGAGTCAGAGGTGACAGTGGCAAGAAAAATGTAAGATTTGAGTATCAATGCGACAGGATGGCACACAAAAGCACATACGAAATGGTGCTTTTTAAGACAAACAGCAAAAAATACATTTACAAAGGTTAGCACAAGGTATATGGTCAGTACGTTGTTGTCACTACAGCACGACAACCACAACAAAACAAGTAAACAAGAAACTCCTTCCTACAGCCGGTGCCTCTCCTTCCCCTCCTTTTAGAGGGCATTCCCCCTTTTCTTTTGAAAAATGAAATGATAATTTGTTTCATCATCACCAAAGGGCCAAGCGAGACCAAGTAGACATATGAACCAGACACTGGTCGATCACATATGGAAAGACATTGGGACAGAAAATGTGAGACTAAATACATCTGGACATGACATTTTTTCTGCTACAGAGGGGGCAAAAATGCCCTCATTTAGGTGCCATTTTTGCTTACGTGGCCACATCAGGACTTCAGCCAATGGACCAAAGAATTGTTGTGCACACAAGATATACTGTCAACAAAAGATATACATCCGTTTCAGGACGCTGTAGCTTCGTGATGCAGGTCCCTGATATTAGCAAATCTCTCATTAGTGTTAGAACCGCTGAGAGGTTGGTTCACGATCGGACTTTTACGACATTCTTATGGAAATGTCATCAAAGTGTGCATCATTAAGGTTCCACGCAAATTCAGGAAAAAGTTGTGTCAGAAGTAAATTACTAATGAAATGTTTTGGAATTCGCACAAATATATCTTATGTGCACTTTGATAATGCTTCAATATAAAAGCTGCCCCATGCTTTAAGGATATAGGTTTATTATAGATTATATATTCACATTATTATACACATAAACATCTGATTCCTTGGGCTGTCCGGGGGCCTGATCTCTGTCAGAAAATTCAGTCCTCAGTCCCTTGACTACTTTGCTCCTTTTACTTCACTTGTTCTAAGTCAGACATATAATTCACCATATCAGACAAACAATGAACCCCTTCCTTGAAATTTTAACAGATTGAGTTTCAGTGTTTATGATTAAAAGCCGAAATGTTATCACATGGTAACACAGGAGACAATACAGCAACCAATATAATGCATTACAGACTGATCCCTTTGCCCTTAAATGCAAAAGTTCTGTTTTTTAAAATCACACACAATTGTACCATATTGACATGGTTTAAAAAAAGGCTTTCCATAATGACATCGCACGCAGAACTGTCCCCAACCCGTGTTATGATGACAACCTCCATGACCTCTCTTCTAATCACTGATAGATTAAGATCATTGCAAATATCATTAATTACCCTCTTCCGATTCTGGGTCAAGACAGTAGACCGTAGCCCTATCACAGAGTTTTATACGGCTATCAAATAAGACACATTTACAGATCACTACAGATATCAAGCATCTATTAGGACAGCGGAGGTGGAGGTCCCGGGCGACCTTTAAGCAACTAGAGGCAGGACCAACCAATCAGATGTCTTGTTCCTGCCTTGGTTATCTATGTGAAGCAATCATTTTTCATTCTGAGGGCAGAACATTTCTGTGCAAGGACAACTCCTTGAGCAGTAAATGCAAAACGCTGTGACTGTAAAGGCACAAAGAGTGCAATGTAAAAAACCACGATAACAAATCATACCGACCGACAGAAGGTATAATGCAAAGTCAGATAATCAGCTTTTGAAAATGGTCCCTTTTCAACACAGCTTAGGCAGTTGCAAAGACAGCTAAACCTCTTCCTGACTATGTTTTCTACGTAGAAGATAAATGGGCATTATTTAGGGACCAAATATTAGCAAAGAAGTAAATGGTTTTGCTGAAAAAATGAAAATTGATTTGGCAAAGGAATTAAAACATGTTGAATGCATTTGTCTATTGGCCGATTCCATTAATAATGCAGTAACTGACCAGAAAACAAATTTTAAGGTATGCTAATGAATGTGGAGAACTTGTTACTAAACTAGTCAGCTGGCAAGATCCAACAAATGAGGTTGAACAGAAATCCTAGAAACTCTGGTCTGAGGTGGTTTGCCAACTCTTTGGAAAAGTTCTTTATTTCTTTTTAAAGAATGTCATTAAAATTGGACCTGGAGACAAATGTTCACTGACGCAAAGGGGACTACAGCTGAAAAACAAATGTCCTTTGATACTCAGCTTGTTGATGTAAATATCCGTTTCTAAGGTTTCAATGTTTCAACAATTCTCCCGTCTTAAATGTTAGTGTTCTCTTAGGAAATAGGCAGTTATCCTAATTGGCCTGCATGATATTGGAAAAATTTCAAGTACAGTGATACCTCGGTTCTCGAACTCACTAGAACTCGAATTTCTTGAAAGTCGAACAAACCAGTTTGACCTAGAACTCGATCTGAATATGAGAAGTCGAACCGTGAACGCTGACCTATATAAATTGTACGCGCCAGGAAATGAGTCATACTACAATGCAATTCTTACTTGAATTGATTAACCAAATAAAGTAGCACAACATTACAGTAACTAACAATAAATAAACCACTAACTTACATGTACTATTAGAGCATTTATGTCATTTATTTAAACTTTATTTTACCAGGTAAATTAACTGAAAATCAGTTCTCACTGCTTTACGTGATATTCCGGAGAAATAGCAGATTACGCATCGGAACTGCCTGGGATACAAACGTCATGCGTGTAACTAAACTCTTCAGCCAATAAGGGCAAAGGTGTGTCGTCACGGAGGCGGTTCCAGTTTGTGCAGCCGGGTGAGAGGTCGCAATCCATCTAACCGTAATGCATTGCGTCAGGATCAGAATGCGTTGCTTTAAGCCAGAGCTGTAAGCAAGTCGAACGCACCCAATGACCGGACTGGGGAAACAAACAAACGCGGACTTAATACAGAGGACTAATGACAACAACCAGAAACAGCTGATCACATGGGGATCCCACACGAGGGGGCGTGGCACACAGAAGGAGCGGACGATTGGGGCAGGACAGGGGTAATGTTGGGATAAGATCTTTATCGTTTTGGAAGCCATTAAGAAAAAAAAATGCTCTTCTTGTTTTATCCTGTTCATTTTGTGTTTAAACGCTAAAAAATAAAAATATATATATATATTTCGGTGTAATTTTTTTGGCCGGGAACCAATTAATTGGTTTTCCATTATTTCTGATGGGAAAAATTCGATCAGAACTCAAACTTTTTAGGATTCGATCCGGAGTCCGGAATGGATTCAGTTCGAGAACCGAGGTACCACTGTATTGCAATTGAAATTTTTTGTGATATTGTATTTGTAAAGCAAAAAAGTTGAAAATTCACCCAAAATAACCTACAGCCAAAACTATCTACCAACAGAATCTGTCAAATAAGTCGGTGGTGATGCTGCAAGTTCTGCCCGACACAAAGCAGTGCTGACAAGTCACTGCTTTTACTCAATATCGTCTCTAGGGAATCCAAAATATTTCCATACAGTGGAATGTCTTTTTGTGACCAGTTCTTGTTTGCTTTTCTATTCCTTGCTCATTTTTATTACATTTCTCATAAACACGACACACTGTCAGCAAGGGAGTCCAACAGCAAGGATTATGACTGGTTCAGACACCACATACAAACGCAGCGGCAGAAAAGCTAAGCTTTGTTTCCTATCACAAAGAAAAGATTTTTTGTTAAACTTACTGATGATCTCAACTAGGTGTGATAATACTGTATATTAACTTCATTACTAAATCACATAAGTCTTAGGTCTTACCTGATATAGCAGGATTCTGCGAAGTTCGGACCAAAGGAGTGTCAACACCCTCCAAAGACCGAGGTGGGGCAGCAGCAGGACTGCCCGGGTCTGTAATAACCTCCTGCTGCTCCTCCCATTGCACCTCCTCATCCCTGGCACCTCCCACCTCCACAGTGTCACTCACGCCGAATTGGGGCACCAGGGGCATACGAAGCATGAAGTGTGGAGGTTGAGAGAGGGTGGCCTGGTGACGCCCATCCAACCTGCAGCATAGACGACGTTAAACCTCAAGTGCTCATCTGCTAATAGGCCTGACAAATATAATCCGTATCCCGTCACCGAAAACCAGAGTCCGACAGACAGCTGTTCAAAATGTCACAGAAACTGTAGCAGGGCACAGCTGATGAACAGTGGCGTCCCAAGCCAATATCGAAGATAAGAACTGGGGCCGGGCCAGGCATTTTTACTAGATCGGTACTGGTTACAACAGCCCGATCCAAAGCCTGATCTGATTTCATTTCCTATGTCTGTTCAATTTTTCAAGATTGCAAGGTTCTGTCACACGCTGCAGTGAGCCTGAGGCACGTGGCTTGAAACTACAAACTACTGAGATGTCAGCCGTGTGGAAATTCTTTCAATTGGAAACACAAAGTAGCCCAACAGCTACCTGCGATGTCTGCAATGCCATCCTTTCCAGAGGAGGTAGCACCAGACCGTCGTTTAATGCAGCCAGTCTAATTAGGCTCTTGCAGAAACATCGTAAGGAATAATACTTTCAAATTCCGTATGTGTATGAAACAGTTAACAACAGATCGGATCAGAAATGGCAGATATAAATGTAGAATCGAATGAATCGGGGTACCAAAAAAAGTGGATTGCGACATCCCTACTGATAAGTATGATGATTCAACACAAACATTCTCAGTTTAGCCGAAAGACTTAAGCGATGCTAATTTGCCAGTCAGAGCTGTGGGCGCGGAGTCCTGCCCATTTTAGGGTTTCCCCTCATTTAACACTCCATATTCAACTCCTTGTACGAATTATCACACAGCTCTTGAGCTGAATCATTTGTGGTGGACCAAGGAAGGAACTAAGATATACAGAGTTCTGGCCCCCCAGGACTGCAGTTTGACACCCCTGGAGTAGCTGTTAAGACCAAGACGGTCTGTCGGCTCTATTGCGCCAAACTCGGATACATTTCTGGAAATGCATCTAACGTGCTCGCTCATTTCAGTCGACATCACTTCAGTGCGTCTGCTACTGGAGCAAGAGTGTAACAGCCGTGTTAGTCACCATGCATTTAAGGAACTTTTGCCAGGAAATTCAGAATGAGCTAAAAAATAACTACAGCCATAGGAGTGGTTATTGCTACAGATGTGTGACCATAGCTGATAGAAGAGAACATGAGATTTAGTTAGTTGTGATTGCTATGATATCTTTTTAATGTATTTTTACAATGTGCAAATAAGTGTCTTTTAGGTTTTGTTTAGTCACGTCAATAGTCAAATTGACTTTGGTTTACAACTGTTCCTATTTGGGCTTGCAGTTTTTATAACTTCAAAAGAAATAGTTTTCCCTGCTATATCGAAACTGCACCGAACCTTAACCCAAACATGAACTGTGTGTGCCGTTACACCCCTACTACTGACTGATCACAGCACAGGCGTACTCCTGCAGGTCACGCTACTCAATGCTATGTTGTAATTACCAACAGTCCCATCTAACATCATGCTAAAACTCCAAAGCCATTACACAGCAGAATAACTTAATGATACTGATAAAGAATACCCAAAAGATTAAAAATTCACACAGAAAGAGATCTGTAATTGTGCATTAGGTACATCAGACATCACCAAACATCACTCCTTCCAGCCCCCGTGGTACCTGGCAGGCCGTCCCCTGATGGTCAGGGACCCTCTCATGGCCCCCAATTGACCTGCAATCCTCTGACTGAATGCCCAGGAATTCATCAGGAGCTGCGGATCATGGGACTCGGGCTCATCATCCTCGTCCTCCTCCACCTCTGTGCTGCTTCCAGAGTCCAGGATGACAACAGGTTCAGATTCATCCTGCCCAGCTGCAGCAGTGCGTCCGGGAACAAAGTCCACCTCCATCTCCTCCATTATTGCGCTAAAAACAAACAACAACAAAAAACATGGAGGATGATTTAATCACCTGACAACCAACAGTACGACAATGAAAAAGATATTTAATATAATACTTCTACACTTTCCGACAGGTAACTATATTAAAAGTGAGACATTTAAAAAGTAAGGCGGTTTGGATGAGTTCATTTTGACAAGGCACTCCGCTATGATTAATACGTTGCTGTGCAGGTATAAGCGTGCTTTGGAAGAATATAATTGTAATAATAATAATATTCACATGGCTAACTAGCTACCTAGACATATAAACCAAAAAAATCAACACATACAGTGTTCAATTAGAAGCCGTGAAATAATTAACTGGAGAGACTGTTGATCTGAACCTAACAGATCAGGTCAGCCATAACAACCAGCCTGCTAACGGGCTAATGCTAATGGAACTAGCAGCGAGCACAGGCCTCTCCCTTCGGGGCGCTGCCAGTAATCAACGCCGAGGTCGCCCTGAGCGAAGCAGTGGTAGGGCCACAATAAGCCACTGGATCAGATAGGTTACAGCACTTCTACAGTTTACATGGCCGTCAGATCGGTCGGTTCAACACCGTTAGTTAGCTACCAGGCTAACGCGGGTTGCCGTATTAACCTCCCCGATAGGAAACGACCCCCATTTTAGGCATGCAAAACTTTACTTTAAGTCTTGAAATGCGGCCTTAAAGACCCCACGTCTTTCGGCTACCACGTTTCAGATGAGCGATGGCTGGTTTTATGGACCCATATGATCAGCAGAGGATTAATTCCCACGTTACAAGCCGAACCGGGATCTTCATCGCCACACTCGAATCTCCCCGCCAGCCCCCGATGTCCCGCCCACTCCAGAGGCCGGACTTTTATTGGACAATGCGAAACGCCAATCATCATAGGTACAGAAACAATGTACATCCGGTGTCTCTATACCCCAGTGTTTTTATAGCCTGATTGCGGAGCCAACTGGCCGTTGTTATCAGTTGCTTTATTCTGTCTGATTTCTGGCCTGCAGTTTTTCAGATATCAACCCCAAACCAACTTTCATCCGTAATGTCCCCGACATGTGTGCTTTTATGCAGCGGAAGGGTTTGAGGCACTGACATGACACAATGGCATGACACAATACTCCCATAACCATAATCAAAATTATCTTCCATTTGTGCTGCATTAGCCCTCTGCAGGTTTGTACCAGAAGAGCCAACCCGGCACCCAGTTTATGGTTTTTCCCTACTCAGACCACTCTGAGTAGGTATTCACCACAGCTGGCGTGTCACCCCACAGGCCTTCCCGTTTCGGAGATGCTCTGTCCAAGTCATCCGGCCATAATGATTTGGCTTTTGGCCCTTGTCACAGTTATTCAGATCTTTGCCGGGGTTCCCGCATCTGACGTGACGCTTACGCTATCTGACTCTCACAATCACGCAAGAAATCTTACGGCAAATCTATATTATTCCATTATAAACCTAAATTAGGTACATCAAAAGCGTTGAGGTAGTTTACAAACCCTACAGACTGTTTACAAGATGTAAATGCATGTGCATGTGTGTGCAGACTTGACTCCAATTGAATATTTTATTCATCATGTCGACTATGAATACCGAATGCTATCTTACCGTCTAATATATCCCACTTTGACATGCACCGTTTTACTCATCGGTGTATATTGGATATTTCAAATAAACGCTTTACAGGATTAATCCCCTGTATTATCTTAGTTGTTGTGTGTAGTATCTTTAGTCAATGTAACGGGGTCATGTAATGAAATTCAGTGCCACTAGGGGGCGGTGATGTAGCTTTTTATTTGCGAATTCTGAATGATTTTTTTTAGAAATTAGGAATGTTTACATAGTTGAACCTGCGCCATTTCCATCAATCTCCATAAAAAGAATGTAGCACTGTTTCTGAGTATGCAACACACAAATACTAAGTTTTCTGCCTAACATTTTTATATCAATTCAAAAATGGAAAGTTTAAAAGATTACAATAAACCACACAGTAAAAAAACAGGTTCTACAGATTTTATAGAAAATATTTCTTTCACTTAATATTAAACTGAGTTTAATTGGCTGTGGGCTTCTGAAATAAAGATTTTTTCAAGAAGTTTTTGAAACAAAGAAGAACGTGCAAAAAAAAAAATCTTTTGAAACGATAATACTGAAAAAGAGAATGAACAGCTATAAAAATACAACAGGTCACTTAAAGCTAATAGTGATGAAGTGTCTTCTTGCTGCGAGGAACAGGCAGGGTCTTGCGCTGGAACTTCGTTCAGCCATATCATCTCTGTGATGCCCAGGCCCACTGGGTCTCCACTCAGTCATTGTCCAACTCCTGAACCACATCACGTAGTTTGTCGACCAGCGCTGCAGCGGAGTAGAAAACAAGGTTATCTTCAGGTGGGTGGTTAATGATGACACTTGCCCAGTAGATGGCACTGTGGTTAAGGGCCCATAAATTAGTCTCCCAGCTTCCTGTGCAGTAGGATGGTAGTCCTATACCTCCGGCTGATGGCCTGTAGAAGGGCTCATAGGCACGGCAGGCATTGATCACATCCTTCAGGTTTCGGGGGCAGTCTGCTGGGAGGGGCTCCATGCTCCTCTCCTTACAGACTTTCTGGTCGATCTCGCGTGACTTACAGCCTGACAGCATAACAAAGACAGGCGTCCTGTACTGTCATCAAAACATGTAAACAGCAAGTATCCAGGGCCATCTTAGATGTAGCTTTTTCATTTAATGAGTGATAAGAACAATGATTATTCATGCATGAATTAATATTTCTAATGACTCTCCAACTGCTAAATGTACGTTAACACTTTTGCTTCAGGCTGTTTTAGTAGAAAGCTGAATATCATCCATATTAATGCAATTAATCAGGCAGGGAATAACAGAGGAGGCGGATCTCAAAGATGTACACAGATTTATATAATACATTTCTAAGCACATAGGAACTTAAATTCATTAGTCTCTGACCAGGACCTTTGAATGGAATCTGACGAGTAGCGATTTCCCACAAGACAATTCCGAAGCTAGAAAACAGAAAAAAAATTTAAGCTTTCAACTGAGTTTCTGAATGCTTTCTGTGGAAGGATCATTCCATTGTTTAAAAGCAGACATAGTAGGAGAGTAGGTTTTGTATTTATGGATCAGGGGTTGGCACTGACCTGTATATTTCACAGTTCTTGTCATAAGGGTGGTTAACATTCTCAATTTGCTGAGGGGAGCAGTAGATTATGGAACTGCCCTTCTTGTCTTTGTTGTTCTTCAGGGAGGTCTCAGTCTTCGCGAGTTCAAAGCCTCCCAGCTACAGAAGACAATGGTACAGCCCGCTGACACAGATCACACTGACAACGCACACATCAATCCTCCGATGTCACCCTTAATACAGTGCAACACAGAAATTAAATCACAACAACACTAATGATACTGTAACACAGAACCCTGATACATATTTTATATCCAATAATTTCTTGAGTCCTGGCTAACAGGCATAATTATAGTTGGCTTTTTACCCATGTGTACCTTTTGGTCCCTGGGACCCCTAGCCCTTTTCGGTCAGGATCTAAGGCGGAAAACCGCAGCACACACAGACACGTGCTTTCAAAGGCCCACCTTCACTCTGTACCCAGCATCCACCAGGAACTTGGAGCTGCTGACACACCCATGCACTTTAAACTTCGCCTCCGACTGGTGCAGCCTGCAGTGGAAACCAGTTAATCCAATGGGTAAAACAGTCCTGATGGAGCCTCATGGGGGGGCAAGCCGCTGCCATGAAGCCCAGCCGCACCTGTAGATGCCCTGGGCTGCGTCCAGGCTCATGCGAGCACGTCTGTCCCACGGCAGCCTGCTCTGTCCGTCCAGCACCTGCCTCAGGCTGCCCTTCTCGCAGAATTCCATTACGATGAGGTAGTTCGGGGAAGGTCCTGCCGCCGAGCGAGATGGGAACAAGATCAGAATCAAAATCTTTATTTGTCAAGTATCAATAACAAAAGTAGAAACTATTTTTTTCTTGGTGCCAAGTGGTGGCATGATGCATCAATTAAAGATGATGAAAGATGAAAACCTTGCAGGCACCTGGCAAACCCAGTACTAATAAATCTATCATAGAGGCAGCTGGCGGCACAGCGGTTAGAGGCGCTCGGGAAATAAATCTATCATAGAGGCAGCTGGCAGCACAGCGGTTAGAGGCGCTCGGGAAATAAATCTATCATAGAGGCAGCTGGCAGCACAGCGGTTAGAGGCGCTCGGGAAATAAATCTATCATAGAGGCAGCTGGCAGCACAGCGGTTAGAGGCGCTCGGGAAATAAATCTTCATCCTCAAGCCCCAACAAGGCCCTGCTGTTCAGTGCCCTGAACTGAGGCTATAAGAAAGTGTACAGCCAGCATGAAATGATAAACTGTAAAATGCTTTGGGTAATATTTCATTCTACATAGTTTTTTCATAATATACATTTACAACAAATTAGTTATTCATAAACATAATGAAATATAGAGCTGAGTAACAACAAAACCATTGAGTTGCCTTCAAATCTGTCTAATGACAGCGTCTAATGGCCTGTTCCTTAACCCCCTCCAGGTCAGTCAGCCTCCAGCTCACCGCGCTCATCCTCGACACAGATGCCAAACATGCGCAGGACGTTTGGTGATTCAAAGCGCCGCATGGTTTCCACCTCCTTAGTGAAGATCCTCCTTATTTCACTGTCAGAGTAAGACGGACATGTTAACAACCCTCTGCTGCTTCGCTGCTTTTCAAATGTCGTCTTTGTCAGACACCAGAACATAAAGCAGTATTATAAAGGTAACACTTTACTGGAGGGGACGCAAATAATATACGATTACACTCTTAATAAATCATGAACCAAGTCTTACCTAATATATTAATTAATCACAAACTATATTTATTCATGATTTGTACCCGAGTAGTAGCTGAGTTACTACTCTGTTACTAAGGAACCATATTGTAAAGTGTTACAGTACCTGGCACCAGCTGTCATTGTTGTCACCTAGCATGCAGTGTTGGGTGTCCCAGGGATACAGTGTCAGAAGCTGAACTTTGTCAGACAGTTTCTCTTGAGTGAAACAGCAGCTAGGTGACACTTTATAATACAGCTCCTTAATAACTTAGTAGTAACTCAGTTACTACTCAAGTACCAATCATGAACAAATATAGTTTGTGGTTATTAATACATTAAGCAAGAGTGAGTTCATGATTAATTAAGAGTATAATAGTATATTTGTGCTCCTTCAAGTAAAGTGTTACTGTATTAAAAATGCCTCAAGAACATCATATTATATTATAATATATCATTATTTGTGGTGGAACTACAATGTCAGTCCTCACACTAACATACTTGTGATTTAAGACATGAAATAAATTATGAAAGCTTCAAGCCACTAGACTAGGGGTCTCCAACTCCGGTCCTGGAGAGCTACTATCCAGTAGGTTTTGTATCCTACCTGGCTTTTGATGAACCACACCAGTTCTCAGGTAAATACCAGGAGCAGGTGTGGCTCATCAGAAGCCCAGTAGGACAGAAAACCTACTGGATAGTAGCTCTCCAGGACCGGAGTTGGAGACCCCTGCTCTAGACATATCACAAGGAACTCATACTCTGGGCTGCTCTGGCAGGTGAATCTCTTGATGGCCACAGTGAACTTGTTATATTCTCCCTTGAAGAGCTCAGAGGTTGTGCTCTTCACGATAGGAATCATTGGAATGCTGTAGCTGAGCTTATCTGGTTCGATCTCTCGGATGTCCTTCTGCTGGATGCTGGACTTCCTTACTGCCCCATAAGAAAACACGCATGTAGTGGTCTGATACAGCAGAGATACTGAACACATTATTCAAATGACTAAATAAATCAAGTCATTAACTAAACTATGAAGCACAGCTAGTAGTCAATTACACACAATCCAATAGACACAACACCACTGCCAAACTTGAGGAATAGTTACATACACGTGACTTTCAATGTATGCAAAAGCCACTCAAAATACTTTAAAAACAAAACGGCTAACAGTAATGCTTCAGAGAAAAAAACAAAACAAATGCTACGACCACTGAAATACAAATGAGAACTCACGAGATTCCAGTGAGGCTTTGATATCTTTCACATCTTCACTGGTGGATTTGGCGATGTCATGCACAGCATCTACACTCTCCTTCATCTCTTCCAAGGATTCTAGCACTGTAAGGAAAAAAAACTGTAAAAGTGCATCATCATGCCAAGCTTTATCTATTATTCAACTCCTATTAAGCTTTTCATAGTGGCTACCAAAGTTATATAAGATATATAAGTTATATGATATATCAAATTTTTCATTAAATTTTTTTAGCTTCATTTCAGTTGTTAAAGCAGCTCCTCGTGACATTTAAGCCACTTCAAAATATATGAAAATGACAAATATTCAAAACCGATTTGCCTGCTTTTCTGTAATCACCCAGGGCTGTAACATAACCTAACAGGACTGGGCGTCATCTCACACTTTTCCAGATCCAGGTCATCGACCTCCCTGTCCTCAGCATCCTCCTTCATGCACCTGACCTCCTGGAATATGTTCTCCAGCCGCTGCCGCTGGTCAATCTGCAGGGCCAGTGAGAGAACCTGCGCAGCGTCGTTGAGTTCCATGTTCAAGCTTTCAAACTCCTCACTCAGCTTGAAGGCCTTCCAGATGCGCTTCAAACAGCCAGTGGAGAGGAAGTTCTTCACCACATGCTGGGCGGACATCAGTGTGCGCTTCAGGTCATGAAGGCTCTTCTTCACTGATTCAGGATCGGGCCCCAGGCCATGAACCTTCACGATCTTCACCACGTGCACCAACGCTGCCACACGCTGATCCAGCCTTTTGCAGCGTTCCTTGTTGGCTTTCACCTCTTTGCACATTGCGTGCAGCTTCTCCGCTATGGTGATAATGGGATCTATGACATCCATGATTCTGCTCAACAACAGAAAGGGAATATCATAAGCAGAGCACAAACGCGGCACTTTATCATAACAATGAATGAATGATTTATACAAACCATAATCGAGACATGAGTACACCACCAAAGACAAGTACAATAGCTTTTTCCTATAAACTGTGACATTTTAATAAGTATCATAAGTATTTAATAAGTATCATGCCCCCAGATCTCCTGCATCCCTGACCTCTCAGCCTTGCAGGACTGCCCAGTGAACAGGCAGATTGAGGGAGACTTAATACAAATATGTGGGCAAGTTGGAGTGCAGGCTTGAGTTGTGGGTATATTGAAAGGTTTGGTTTGTGAGCATGTGGCTATATGAACATATTAGATGTGTGTTAATCATAGTTGTTGCCATCCTGTGTTTCTGGTGAGTGTCAGGTCTCTTTCTGCAATAACGTTTAACGACGGCATTTTCGGCCAATAAAATCGACTTTTCAATATGCCAACCTTTTGATAGGCCCACTACTCCAGCCTGCAGAGACTCACGTCTCAGAGAAGTGGCATAATAAATCATAATAAATGTGAGTACAGGCCACAGCTTGCTAAACCCGGTTAATGGTAAATTATGTTTTTTACTTTTCATGATACTTTAGCTCTGTACTGTTCTGTTGTATACACTGTAGCACCGGCGGGGCTCATGTCCCAGCATGCCCCGCGTGCAGTTGTAAATAGCCATTGTTGTGTTGTTGCTGTTATTGTTAATTAATAGGTAATTCCTTATTGTTGCGCATGTGTTTACATGTGTCTTGTGTGTACCTGGTCTGATCCTCGTGTGTAATTAGCTTACATAAATGTCCCACCGTGGATGCGTCTTACAGTTCGTTGTCTGACAACTTTGTGTTTCTCACATAGAATTATGTTTGGTGCTCTTTGGGTGCCTGATGTAATCCTTGTACGGATTATTAATTGAGTGGATGTTCCCCGACAGAGTAGTCTTCGTGTTTCTCTGCTCGCGATACCTCCATCTGCCCATCGCAGCAATACGTTATTTAAATTTAAGTTTTAATTGAAAACATGGTGAAATTGTTCATTTATATATGAATTTAGTCGAGACACGACATACACAATGTCTAAAATTAGTCTGCTTTTGGTATTATAAGACGTCCACAACGACCACATTTGGACTATAAATAGCCCATACATGGAGGTCCCACGGCCGTCAATACTAGAGGTTCATTAGACGTCAAAAAAAGACACAAAACAACCCCTTCAGTGGACCAAAATTGGGACGTCCAAAAACGACATATTAAAGACGTCATTCCGACGTCACTATGCGCAGTGGGATGTTCTCTGTGCCATGAACTATGGTATGGGACCTCTATTTAAAAACACAGGTTGATCAACACCGTGTGAGAATCATCAGTATCACAAAGCCCAGCAATGTTTGAGAAATCCAACACTCCATCTTTTAACAGCATAACTTTGTTAAAGTCCAGGATAAAGGATCACGACGCCTGATTTCTAGCCGGATAACTTGTCGTATTTAAGGTAGTCTGGGCCAAATGCAAGCGAACAAAGATAAAGTCCATCTAAACTGGGGTAACTTGAAAAAAAAGCTACTCGGCTTCATCACATGGCACATAAAAAACTTATTCAATCAAATTAAAGCCATCATTTTCAAGTCGAGAGAACAAAAAGACATAGAATATACGTTTTTCTGCTTCTCGCTCCTCGATCTCCCCTCCGCGCATTAAACAAGCAGTTACAAGCCTGAATTCCATTCATATTCAAGAAGCAAAATGCTTTCCATTTCCATACTACTGTCACTTCATGAACTACTCTTAAAAATTCGGTATGTAGCCTAGTAATAACACGGCGAATATAACTTTATTAAAGTGTCTATAAGATTTTGTATAGTTTTTCTATCTGTTCATAGTTACGGAAAACTGTCAGACAACAGAAAACAATAACGTAAAACAATTTCCGCATAATGCGTACAGGTAACTTATTAATTAAAACCGACCGAGCATAGCGTCCGATACCTTTTGTGACACTCCGATTGTCCTTTCCTGAAAACTAAATGTCTTCTTCCGCGTTTAACGTTATCCTAGCGTATTTTAAAGACGCTCCCACCGCTGAACCCCTCCTATAGTCGCCTCGCGCTGTTGCAATTCACGTCCCCTTCAGGCGGTGCTCATGCAGAATGTAAGGTAGTGTTTTCCTGGGGCTGTGTTGGTACAAATCCATGAGTCAGGTTGCGTGCAAACGTGTTTATCTACTCAAACAAGTCGGCTATGCTTACAAAGTATCCCTGTATTTTCTACAATTTCTTTGATTTATAATACTCAAGAAAACAGCATTACTCAACATAAATGTTTCCTGTCATATGACTTTCATTTTCTGTCATTTGAGCTTCTACCGGTCAGTGGCTCATATGTGATATTCAAGGTGCTCTGAATTACATCGATCGGCTTTTTCCATTAGAGCAGGGCCGCCCAATACTGGTCGATCGCAAATGTAGTGTGGGTAGATCGTATGGCATGAAAAAATAGAGGATGGATGGATGACGCGTTCAACCGCGCCAGCTGCTGCAAAACTCTAGAAAGCTACCGAGTCGCCTAGTTAGCCTCCAGTTTATTTCTACTAAACTTAAGGGTATAAAAATGAATGGGGGAACTGGACCAAGTAAGAAGCCAAAAACCTGCCACTTCCATACGGAACAGGAGGAGGACTGTTTGTTTTTCACCATGTTATATTCGAAGTGCATTTGCCTCATCTGTCAGTCTACCATTGCTATTCCGAAGAAGGGGAATGTGCAGCGGCATTTTCGGACTGTTCATAAAAACTACGACAGTAACTTCCCTCCGAAAAGCAAGCTGAGAAATAAAAAGGTGAAGGAACTAAAGTCCCAGTTCAATTCAAAAATACTTTATTTATCCCAAAGGGAAATGAATAATAGTAGTAATAATAATAAAAGAATACTCAATATTTTTATACATATAAACATGTTTAGCATTTTTATAGTAGGTAGATCATTTTGATTTAGTCATTTATAAGTAGCTCACAAGCTGAAAAAGTGCAGGCACCCCTGCATTAGAGCAACCGATATTTGTAACTATTTCCAGCAGTATCAGACTAAGTACAAATTTTGCCTGTTTTGAAATACAACTAAGTTGGAACATATATCTGATTATGCCTCAGTCTGCACACTTCACCTGGTTCTCCATCCTGACTTCTGACAGATGATAACCAGATCCACATATTAGCTGACCCTCCTCTCCAAAGCTTCACCAAGTGATCTTCCCACCGGATTGTTAACTCCACCAGTATGACTTGCTTGGTTGATTCAGACACATGATGGACAATGTCTGGGTGTAGCAGGGTGTGTCCAGCACACCCTGCTACATGTGACGTCGCCTCTACCAATGGCGTCCATGCATCCAGCTCGCCGTGCTGCCTGTGTCGTCTTCCTTGTATGACCCGCTCCCTGCCTTCTGGCTGCCTGGCGATTGGAGGGAGCGGTGGCACCGGCTTGCCATCTCCCCCCTGCTCCCCGTTCGTGTCTCAGATTTAACTGTATTTGACTCTCCCTGCCAGCCCCTGGAGGATGGGTCCCCCCTTTGAGTCTGGTCCCTCCCAAGGTTTCTTCCTTCTAGGGAGTTTTTCCTTGCCACTGTCGCCTATGGGTGGGGATGCTGTAAAGCGCTTTGAGACAATGTAATGTTGTGATAATGCGCTATACAAAAATAAATTTGTTTGTTTGTTGTCTGGTCACAGGGTGGTGGCTGCAATGTGGTTAGGGAACTTAAACTGCTGTCTTAGTTCCACCAATAACTGCCAGTCTCTTACTAATGCCAAAATGCCTGCAGATGATGATCTCTTGGCAGGATTTGGCTGCTCTCCAGTTCTGATGAAGATATGATGGGCTTGGAAGCCCAGGGTGTCCATTAGCTGCTCGAGGCAGTTTGAAATGGCTTCTGGATATGGCCCCGAGCCATAAACTTTAGTGGCCTCCACCACCACATGGCACTTTATCATAACAATGAATGAATGATTTATACAAACCATAATCGAGACATGAGTACACCACCAAAGACAAGTACAATAGCTTTTTCCTATAAACTGTGACATTTTAATAAGTATCATAAGTATTTAATAAGTATCATGCCCCCAGATCTCCTGCATCCCTGACCTCTCAGCCTTGCAGGACTGCCCAGTGAACAGGCAGCTTGTTAGTCATAGTTGTTGCCATCCTATAGATACCGACCATTCAAAAAACGTATCAGCGACGTAGCGCCGACGTACTTATGCTGACTGGGTGTTTCCGGTGAATGTCTGCGGCCTGTACTATGAAGCGGGGTTACTGGCTTTTCCGAGTAACTTGTCGGATTTAAGGTACCACAGTTTAAATGGACTTCATATTCGTTCACTTACAAGGGGCAATGGAAGGACATCTTCCATTCAGCTGTGTAGCGGATTTCAATCTGCGTTGTGTAGAATTTTCTTTTCCAAGTACTGTATGATGGACACGACCAAGTCAACAGTTATGAGTTTATTCCTGAACAGAGAGATTACAAATGTATACATATAAAATAAAAAGCAAAGAAAATTAGGGAGCAGACCACACATACCTTACACCCGCGCGCCATGTGTTGAAAGGAAAGAAAAATAGGGTTTCTTGCCCCTTGAACCAGGGATATGGATTAATCCATATCACAGAGGGGATAATTATGCAAGAAAATAATAAACACTCGTGACAGCACTTCAACAACAGAAATGCGGATTAACTTTCATAATTACGGGGTATCACACACCAAAAAAGCAACATCCGAAAGAATATAAATTAAAAAAATAAACAGATGTATCCCTTCCGATTACAAACCCCTCCAGCCACAGGTAAAAGTGACGTATGGACTGCGAAAATAAATAAACACAATTAAAGAAAAACGAATCACTCAGACATTCAACAATTAAACAAATAATTAACTAATCTAGTTCCACCAACAACTGCCAGTCTCTTACTAATGCAAAAAAAATCCTGCAGATGATGATCTCTTGGCAGGATTTGGCTGCTCTCCAGTTCTGATGAAGATATGATAATCTTTGAGGGTCGGCACCGCTTTGACCATTCAAGTCCTTTGCTGATTGCTTCCGCGATGGTCCTCAGATCCTGATTGTACCTCCATTGATACCTTCCCTCTCCAAGTGCCCTCGTACATCTGCTTATAATGTGTTCTAGGGTCCCTCACTTGGAACACATTGGGCATGCTGGTGTCTGTAATGCCATAAGTGTGCAGATTTGATGGGCTTGGAAGCACATTGTATACTGTCTGAATGAGAAATCCAATGTGGTGAGGCTCGGCTTTCCAGAGCTCGGACTAAGTCATTTTCCTCTCAACATCTTCTCCTCCACTGCTGCTCTCACCTCCCCCTCAACTACAGGTTAGCCATCATCTGAACACATGAATCTCTCTGCTGTACCACTTTTCTGCTCTTAATATCTTGAATTCTTCCTCCAAGGATTTGAAGGACAGTTGAAGTTTGTTGTTAGGACTGTAGCATGCAATGCTGTTCAGGCTCTTTGGCAGCCCCAGCCATCTCCTGAGATGACTACTGACCTTTCTCTCCAAGGTCTCTTTGGTTGAGAGTGGGACTGCATAGACAAGTAGGGACCACAAGATTCTGGGTAGGGTGTCATGAGTGTCATAATGGATGGTTGCCTTGCACAGATCTCATTCTGGGCCCTCTCCACTCTAGTTCAGCAAACTTAGTGAACAAGTTCATGTCAAGAGAAAATAGTGTCTTGGAGACAGTGCACCATGCAATGAAGCCAATCTTGACCTTGTCCCAGCTTGATGGTACTGCCCCTGTGGAGACCCTCATCCTGAATTGGTTGTAATAATCAGCAATAAGTTCTTGGATCCTGTTGGGGACGTGATGTTTAATCAATAGTCAATATAAGCTGCACCAGCCAGGTTACCTCTGTTCTGTGTTAAATCACTTTTAAAATCTGAAGCATTCTGGATAATTTAGTCATAACATTCTCAATGGTATAATGTTTTGGAAACGTCAATCTCATTATCTTTTGCATTATTCATTCTCGATAAATGAAATACATTTACATAAGGACTGAAATACTACTAAGGCAATAATAAAGTTTTTTTTAACGTATAACATCAGACAGAATATATATTTTTATTTCTACCAATTAAAGTGTTTGGTTTACCTACAACTCAATAGGATTAATTTAATTTTCAACTTCACAGATTTTATACAAGATATCACTTCGATTTAGTGAATCTGAAATGAAATTTGTCCTCTCAAGTAACAATAAATACAGCATGTTTCCTCCTTTGTTTGGTCCACTAATTTTATGCAACACATAGCTGTTTAAAGCACGTCTTTAAATAAACAACTAGCAGAATGATTTCCCTCTACTGCATGCCAAAATACTGCAATGGATACTTCCTGTTTCATAGCAAATGCATCCCTTGCACAATTTATTACACTACTGGGCAGACTTTTGAGGGACCGTGCGTTCTAACATCCTGCTACATCATCTGTGCAAATGAAAGGAAACTGTCACGGCCGCTGCCAAATGAGTGAATCTACTTGCTATATTATAATGCCGATTTCTTGAAAAACGGGATTGTGTGGGGAGACACAACTGTTTCATTTTATTCTCTTTTGCACATGCGGGGTCTTAAGAATGGTGAGGCTTGAAAGAGTTGAAATGTTCTGCGTATGCGTGAACCGGAAGGGGCCTGAGAGTTACAGATAAACTGTAACAATCAGTTATAGTTTATCATACTAATATAGTGAATCAGCCACCACAATTTTAGTATGTGTGAAACTAGTGATGTTAAGCTTGACACTGAAGCTCCGAGGCATGTGTAAAAAAAAAACGATACAGTGCGTTCTGAAGCAGAACTTCGATGCTTCTTCCATTCTACCCTAAACACGTGACCATTGTGATCCGAAGCTTCATTCTGTGCTCAACCATGTGACTGCTTCAGAAAAGTGAAAATGAGGCACGAACCTCAGTGACCCCAATATACCACGTACTGAAGACCCTTTGAGGTTCTGGGATATGCACCAGGCTGTGTATCCACACTTATACGAACTTGCAGTACAGTTTTTATGCACTCCAGCGTCCTCCGTTCCATGTGAGCGGGTATTCTCCAAAGCAGGAGAAGTGGTGAATAAAAAACGTAACCACTGTTGAACAAATACTGTTCCTGAATAATAATCTGTAGACTAATGGCCCCTCTTCAGTTACACAAGCACCCCTTCCCAGTTAAGTCAATGGTTTCCCAGTCCACAAGAAGTCACATTCAATTTACCAAGGACATTAATGTTCATGACACACTACAGACCATTAGAATTTTTGCCAATTGCTAAATATTCAGATTCACTGCACTCACTCAAAATTAAGTGTTATTTCCTTATTTGACCACTTGGTGTCACTAATGGTCACCATTTCGGAAGGCTTCGAGTACTGAACCATTTTTCGACACACTTGAAAAGGTAGCTTCAGTGCTTTGAAAAGCTTCATTTTGCCATCACTATGTGAAACTATTATGCAACACCAAGTGACCAATTATTTTGGATGGGGTCGTGGTAGGGTTACAACACACGACAGAGGTACACCCTTTATGGGATACCATTTCGTCACAGGGCACATACATACAGATGACTTTAAAATAGCTGGTGCTAGTGCACGATGCCCACTGGAAGATTACATTAGTTTTCTACTTCGGACTTTTAAAATAATACGTCACCTACTACAATATACATTATAGACTGATTACTTGGGAAATGTAAATCAAACAAATACCCACCCAAATGAACAGCTTCAGGTTTCCCGGAAGAACGCGAGAAGTGACGTACTTCCTGCGTTTGATTGGATGCGCAGGATTTCAAGATGTCTGCTACCATGGTGGAGCATGTTGTGGCTGATGCGGGAGCTTTCTTAAAAAAGGCACCGTTACAGGTGAGAGGGACAGCATTCTCGAACAAATAACTTTGTTTTACACGTGAAAAGATATTTATGAACTACTTATATCTGTTTAGTGCGCGGCCATTTGTTAATTTTTTTTTACACAATATACAGTTCTGTATCTTCTCGTGGAAATGTTTACATAATACACGGTAACAGTAAATCGATTTAATTCACAGCACTTCCTTGATCATTTTTCTTAAATATGTTTATACTTTGATAATGAGCTATGGAACAAGTTCATATAAAACATCTCAAACGGAACTTAATGTTCAAATCCTTACTCTATGTCCACACTGTCAGCTGTCATTAATCCCCCATCATTCTAACTCGGAATGTGATTGTTATTTACAGGATATCGGGAAGAATATTTACACCCTGAAGGATGTCGTTGAGGAAATACGGGACAAGCAGACCAGACGAAGTCTCGCTTTTCTGCCATATAAACTTAATTTCAAGGAACCCTTCCCAGAATACATTAGACTAGGTGATCCGTTAACTTAATCTTATTGTTTAATGTCTAAAAATGCATTATTTCAATTGTGAGGAAAAACTTTAGACAGGCGGGACACATCGAAGTTTTCTTCTTTATTAATTGTTGTTTGTTATAGTGACTGAATTCTCCAAAAAAACTGGAGACTACCCCAGCCTCTCAGCCACCGACATCAAAGTATTGGCTTTAACTTACCAGCTAGAAACGGAAACCGTTGGATCTGCACACCTGAAAAAAGACCCGGACGTTAAAGTAAGTAAACCAGCTCATAGCGAAATAACTAAAAAGTTGAAAATTCATGGTATTAATAATACAGTCATCTGGTCACAGATCACTTTATGCGGCACACAGCGCCACCCAGAGGCCCCTGTTGACATTGCAGGGTTTCATCTTCCATCGAAGGTAAAGATGATCAGGCTAATCCAGTCAATACACTATGGGCCGGTTTCCCGAACTAGGATTAAGACTAGTCTTGGACTAAATTGCCGTTTCAATGGAGATTCACCATTGTAACTCAAAGCTAGTCTAGGCTTAGGCTTAATCCTTGACTGGGAAACTGGCCATATGAATAAAATTTTGCACTGATGATACTCAGTCCTTTTGACTTAAATATTTTTTGTAATGTATGCAAGTTAAAGTATTTGATCTGTAACTTGTTTTGTGAAGCCCTTTTGTAAAGTTCAGAGTAACACTAAAATGATTAATTGCATTGATCCTATGCAGGCAATACTGGGAAAACCAACTGCGCCCCCCCAGAGCGTTCAGGATACTGAAAGTGCAGAGTTCAACAGCTTCCAGTTCTGGAGGAACCCCCTGCCCGCCATTGAATCTGACCTGCTGGACCTGCTGGTGAGGAGAGCTGCTTATGGCCAGAATCGACATTGTTTGGGCCTTAATCGTACTGTTCCATCCAGGAGTGTGGAGCCCGTCCCAGGCAGCACAAGACAGAGTGCTTTATTTGAATTTTCTCATTCCCTGCAGAAAAGGTGTGATCTGCAACTTATTCTGCTTCTGGTTATGGATGAATGTAGATTGTTAAAATCCACAGTAACTTGCATTCTCATTACATATATATTTTTTTCTTTTACTGCCAGTAATTTGAGCACAATAGAAAACCAGTTGATATTCTGAAGATGTCAGCTGCTTACCTTGTCCCACAGTTTGGGGAGGGGCGGTTGTTTCACTGTGGGCATGATTATGTTCGGCTAAGGCTTTAATGCTGCAGTCGGTTCATCTCTCTTCAAAGGGACAGGATTTACAGCCGCAGTCTGAAGCGGAGAATGCTGAGGAAGTCGGAGGGTTCAAGGAGGGTAATGAATTGGACGATGAGGAGGAAGAGGATGATGACGGTGGAGGCTGGATCACTCCCCATAACATCAAACAGGTCCAGATGGACATGGGTGTGTTTGAATCTCCTACAGATATCAGAGTTGGCTGTGTGACCACTGACTTTTCCATGCAGGTAAGGCTGACTGTTCAAGCCTTTTAAATTACAAAAGCATGCTCTGCATTTGTCTAATGAAGATATTCCCTCATTTTCCAGAACGTTCTCATTCAGATTGGGCTACATGTCCTGTCTGTGAATGGGATGCTAATCAGACAGACCCGGAACTACATTTTGCGCTGCCATGCCTGCTTCAAGTGAGTTAAGCAGAGTGACAGCACATATGCTAAGGGTCTCCAGTAGACCGTAAGCTCTGAGTGGTTGGAAATGCTGTAGTGGCTTTTTTTTTGTCATCAAAATGATATGGCTGTCCATCTTAGAACCACAACAAACATGACCAAGATCTTCTGTCCGAACTGCGGGAACAAGACGCTGAAGAAAGTTGCAGTGACGATCAATGAGGATAGCAGCATGCAGATGCACTTCTCCAAGAACCCCAAAGTGCTTAACCCCCGGGGTCTGAAGGTTGGTTGGTGGGGGGTGTAAATACCAGAGGGAGGGAATCTGAGCCTCAGAAGTCCTGCGGTAAACCCTTTGGGTACAAAATTATACATTTTGTTTTACTCCCAATGCGATGGTAATGTACATCCTCTGGCCTTATTTCCGACAGCACTCCCTGGCCCTGCCGAAAGGGGGCAAGCACAGCAGCAATCCTCACCTTGTGGAGGACCAGCGATTCCCCCAGCAGCGACTGTCTCGCAAAGCCAGGCAGAAAACCGATGTCTTCGACCCAGATTACGTGGCCAGTGGCTCCCCTTTCGCCGAGAATGATATCTACAGCCGGGCCGCGAACCTGCAGCTGCGGGATTCTCAATGTGGAGGGGGGCGTCGCCGTGCTAACCCTAATGCGGCACGCAAGAAATTTGTCAGGAACAAGTAACGGCTGTTTGCAATGGGGGGGGGGGATGTAACTAGTGTCCTAAGGCCACCAGGTGTACTGCTTGTGATGCAGGGTTAACTTGGTTGTTTCTCAAACTCATCAACTATTCAGTTCAGTCCCCTAGTAATGGCTAAATCAAGCTTCATGAACCATTTGCTGTATTTTCTGACCCCACTAGATGGTGCTCTTGGTTAACTTTGGGGCATGCTTTGAGCCTTTTTTTGAACAGAGAGCACCATCTAGTGGTGTCAGAAAATACAGCAAATGGTTCATGAAGCTTCATTTGGCTGTCACTGCTGTCCCCCATGTTTATACTGCTGGACTAAGGCTAAAGCTGGTACAGGTTTTACTGGCTTGATTGTGCTGGAGGGAGGCAGACAGCCAGGTTGCCAGGAATTAACCTTCACGAGCTGCGAATTTCGGTCCAGAGAAACTTACGAGCATTAGATACTAATGCATTTTTTTTCAAGTTCTGAAATGTTTTGTAAATGTACACTTGCCCTTTTTAAAACTCAAAGCAATAAACCCATATTTAATATCAGAACTGATTTGATTAAATTCACACTAACAGACACAACATTGACCAATCAGCATGTTAAGTTTTTCCCACTTATCAAGACCCAATATACAATATATTCTTCAGTAGAGTCAAGCATGCTTCTCACAGTGCTCTGGAACAAACTGGACTTTTCTTGTGGGAAAGCCCATGTAACTTTATGGTTTCATTCAACAGTCACCCTGACAGCTCGGCAATCTCTCCAGCTGCAGATCCCTCCCTAACGGCTGTGAGCACAGTGTCCTCTGCAGATGTCACAGCTATCTTAGAAGCTGGGTCTAAGGGCATAAGGTCTGGGTTTGGCAGATCGCTCAGGTCAGCGACAGAAGAGTCTGTTTCCTTCTTCGGCAAGACAAACTCCAATGGCGCCAGTACCATGTCCACATTGATGCAGCCCAGACCATTGCACTTGTGGACCTGTGTTGGGGGTATACCTAAAAAAAAATAAAAAAGCCAAACAGCATATTGACAAATGCTCTGTGCTGCACGGCACATCTTATTCTAACCAGAGAGGAGATACCTGACCATCTTTTTGTGGTGTTTACCATGAACAGCCTGTAATAGTGGCTATGAATGCATGAAGATCTAATGAGTGCAACACATATGTCCTGCAGGGAAATTAAGAAAACAGGAGTGTATTTTGTGGTATGAAACCTAACTTTTATCCTACACGATATGTAGTATCAATTAATTTAGTGTTCTAAGAAATGCTTCCAGTAGCGATTTTGTGCTTGTGTGTGTATGTGTGTGTAACCAGGGCAACATCAGCATCAATGTTCCTACCGAGTATGAGAGCTAGCTGAGCAGGGGGGAAGACGATTTGCAGACAGCGATTGAGAAATGGCATTATGTCCTCGGCGAAGGCACAGCAGAACTGAACGAAGAGCTCGCGTTCCCGGCTGCTGAAGGCTGCCTCCTCAGCCCGGTGGAAAACCAGGATCAGTTTGGTCACCTGTGGAAGACTTTGGCTTAGACACCATAACACTACTCCATTGGCACATGATGTACAAAGCAGCTTAGGTGCAGCAGCATGAGTACTGCACAGACAGCTCTATGAAGCTCCTGCAAACCTGAAACCATATCGGTTTAATAAAGGAAAACATGGATCCTACCGATTGTGAATTTATTATTAGACTACTGTATTGCTTTTTGGTACCATCACAAAAATATGCACCCATTACCACACACGGGAGGGCCAAAGCCATTAGCATAAGCAGAATCTCACACAAACCTTAACGAGAGCATCTTCCAGGCATCTGGTGACACCCTGAGCCAAGGCTATGGGGCAGCACAGGCGCAGGTCGTTGAAGGCGGTCAGGATGTTGTTGAGAAAGCAGGCCAGGGGAGGGAAATCCAGGAGGGTCATGGGGGGCTGTAGTGTGCCGGGCTGCACACTAGGTGGCACAGGTGGGATGGTACTGCCTAGCATGGTGGGGAAGGAGATGAGCGTATAGTGATTCATGTCCTCCTGAAACTTCTCCACAGCCTCCTGCATCGCCCGGTGGAATGTGTCCTTGGCAACCTGCTGGAACATGGGGGCCAACTGGCCCCGAAAGTCTGCCCCCACCCGACTAAAGGAGAGACCAAAATACATGCACTGGCCCAACAGGGAGTCTAGGCGAGCACCGACTCCACGCTGCAGGTCCCGCTCCAGGGTCTCCAAGAACTCTGCTACCTTCTGGACCACCCAACCATGGAAAATGGCGCTCTCATTCACTGCCTGTCCTGCAGGGGCCAGCAGAGGGTCCTCGTCCGAGAAGATGGCTCGGTACTGTGTGATGATGTCGAAGAGATGCACGCGGCAGGCTTCGATGGTCTTGGTTATGTGGATGTAGGGGTCGTCGTCAGGGATAGCGGACAGGATGGAGCGCAGCCAACTGCCTCGCGTCTGCAGGAACTTCACTCTGAGCTCCGCCTCCGTGAACACATCCATTCGGCGGAGGTAGCCAATCACACGGAGGCAGACGGGCAGCTGGGCATTGCTGCGCAGCTGCTGCAGTAGCTGGCTCAGCATGAGCTGCGCAGATTGACGCACTTCATGCACAATGCTCTGTAAGAGTAAGAGGCACATCATTTATGTTTTAGGGGACAGTATGAGTAATGAAGACGGTATGTATGCTTTTGAAGTCGAGCCGTTTGCCTGTCACAGAATGGCTGCTACCTGGATAACAGGCAGGGAGGTGTGCTTCTTCTCCAGCCTCTTGACATAGGCTGCCAGCTCCAGGGCTTCCTCGTAGTAGCCGTTGCGGACACACGTGTCCATCAGCTGAGGGATCTCCAGTATCTCCAGGATCTCCGTGTGGCGATTCAGTGTCAAACTGTTCATGCGACGGCTGACCCCGATTTCCTCGGCTTCCTTGACGAAACCCCTGTGCCCAATGACACACAGCAGCAAAACTTATCAGCGTCACCAACTAAATTTGGTTAGCTGGCTGGACTGAGATTTTCCATTAGACACAAATCCGCACGCACGGGTGCTCGCATTTACAACAGTTGTATTAACTTTTACATAGTAAGTATGTAGGGCTTGCAAATTACCCGGGTTTTTGTTGTGGCTAATTCTAGGTTTATGATGGATTCCTATAGATTTGACGTAAGATTTCTTGCGTAAGAGTCAGAAAATGTGTCACGGCGGATGCGTGAAAGTAACTCTATAACAGGCATATGGCGGAAAACACACCACAACCGATTAGAAATGATAAACCTTTATTAAAAATTGTCTACCTAGTTGTGTCAGTGAATTTATATGTCAGTTGTCATAGTAATCCTTTCTTGTATTTAAATGATTGTATAGATGTATTATCACACACCTGCATTTTTCCCCAAAACTTGGCAGTTTTTCGAGTAACTTGGAGACGCTGCTCTCCACACGGCCGAAGTCCCGGTATATTTCCTCGGTGCAGTCCGCAGTGCGGATGAAGGTTTTATAGTTGGAGAAAGCCAGCTCCCGTGTCTGCTGCAGGATCTGCGCCCGCTCCTCCGACAGCCTCTCCGGTTCGCGGCTCAGCTTCTCCACGCCATACGAGCTCAGTTCCGACAAATACGCAGCAAAGTCTGGGTTCTCTCGCCAGTTGTCAGGAAAGCTGTCTTTGAAAATAGACGCTAGAATACTTTCATCTTCCACGTCCACAGCCGCCATCTTGGTAAGGTGCCACTTTTAATTTGTGCTGTCAAACTTTATTTACAACCTCTTCGTACACAGACAGGGAAATCAATGCAAGGAACGTCGACATTGACGTACAGACTCTACGCGACATATAATAAAACTTAGCATTTCGTTAAATACAGCATATTTCACGTCTAAGAATGTTAAATATTCACTACATTTTAGACCCCGCATACCGAATGTGTCGTCACACAATTGCTTCCTGTTTCCGGTTGGCCTCTTCCGTCTTCGGGACCCACGTGTGCCTGGTTTCTGCAGCAGTTGAGCAGCTAAAACCATTATTTTGTATTATACTGTACATTATAAACATGCGACCCTTAACGGATGATGAAACCAAGATCATGTTTGAAAAACTTTCAAAGTAGTAAGTGTCTGTCTGTATTGCTGAATTTTGTGTTATATTCGTGATACCTATTGTCAATGTGTTAACGTTCAGTTTGGAACTGTATCGCAATTAAGTGGCTTAAAAACAATAAGTTGATTGTTATCCCGAAGCCATGTACAATTATATCGAAATAATTTTGTCTTCTTAGTATTGGGGAAAATATTAAGCTGTTAGTGGATCGACCAGATGGGACATACTGCTTCAGACTTCACAAAGATCGCGTGTTTTATATAAGGTAAATACTAACACATTTAAATATACTATATTTAATTCACGTATTTCTTGTTAATTGGCGTTTCTCGTTGTTATATACATAAGTGTTCTCTACGTTTTTTTTTCACTAGTGAAAAGATTTTGAAATTGGCCACCAATATATCTCGGGATAAGCTGGTGTCAGCAGGCACCTGCTTTGGGAAATTCACTAAGACCCAGAAATTCCGCCTCCACATCACTGCGCTGGACTTTTTGGCTCCTTATGCAAAGGTAAATTAATCTTTTAAAACCCTTTTCTGCCGACCATGCAAAGTAGTCTCATAACGGGACCCGCAATGTTTAGACGTGTCCTGTTTTGGATAAATGACCTCTACACCGCAAAAGTAATTGGACACGTATACAAATCTGATTTGTTTTGTGGTATTTCTGCAGTTTAAAGTGTGGGTGAAGCCCGGGGCGGAGCAGTCCTTCTTGTATGGAAACCACATTCTCAAGTCCGGCCTCGGCAGAATTACGGAGAACACGGAACAGTACCAGGGAGTGGTGGTATACTCTATGGCAGACGTTCCATTGGTAAGGATTTTTCTCAGTTGTTTAGCATTGTTGCTACCAGCAGGGGCGTTGCTAGAGATTTTGGGCCCCATGAAAGCATATCATATTAGGCCCCCCAGTCCAAACCAATCCAGTTATTTTCCTAATTTTTTAGGGCCCCTGTCACTCAGGGGCCCTTGGAATCGTCCTAGCTTTCCTCCCCCTTACGGCGCCCCTGGCTACCAGTACATTAAACTAGCCGATATCTTCACAGAAGAGGAAAATGCACAAAACAGTGAATCACTCGCGATATTATTACTCTAAATGAATTAGTAAGTATACTGTTGTCTTGGAGGAACAGAGTGATATCAGTATACCACCTAGGAATGCTTGTTTTTCACTGAGTGTATCCTCTCACTCCCCAGGGGTTTGGAGTGGCAGCAAAGTCCACACAGGTGTGCCGGCATGTGGACCCAATGTCCATCGTGGTGTTCCATCAGGCAGACATCGGGGAATACATCCGATGTGAGGATACTCTCACTTAAGACTGCAGTGAGGACTGGGGAGAGTGTGCAAAATGGACTGGATCTCCACAAACGAACTGTTTTGGGATCGTCAGCATGGACAGTTGATTTGCGGCCGGTCTGCCTGGTGCACCTCCTATTGTCACTTTCTGCGGTTTCACCAGGAATTTCTGTCATAACCCAATATTCTTCTTGACTGAAATAAAACTTTTTTTTTTTTAACGTAACAGACTGTTGGTTATCCTTCACAAATTCACTTCTTGGCTCAGCAGTTTGTGGTTTTGATGCCCTGTGAAATCTACCTAAAACCAGCTGATGTTTTGTTTAGGACAGTGGTTCTCAATGGGGGGGGGCACATAATTTGAGAAGTGTAGAAAAAAATAAAACATTGCTGGGGCTGGGAAGTAGCCAAAATCAATGTTTTTGCTATATCGATATTCACCATATTGAATCAATATTTTTTTCAAAATGAAATGTAGGGTGACACAATACTGTGTATCAATATACAATTTACTGTGTTAAAATTTGTTCTTTGCTAAGGATTTTAATAAAAATCAATAGGATGCAAACAGCACGTGAGCTTTGGGCATGATTTCAGGCTTCTGAAATTAGATTCATTTGCCAAATAGGTTTTAAACTTAGATTTTTGTTCATAAACATTCACCTTCTGTTTTGAGAGCAATGTCATAAATTGAGAGAAGGAGAGTCTTGGGGTCCATAAGGGAGTGAAACCTTGTATGAGTCATGTTTAAAAGAAATGACACTGGTAGTGTAACCAAATTAGATTATGTTTATATTAATAAATACTGACAACTTTTGTCATCATTGCGGAACGTATAGAAACGAAACGATATCGTAATCTGCGTAGGGGACCCAAATATGTTTTCTTGGACATAGGGGGTCTTTGGACGAGAAAAAAATGAAGAACCACTGGCTGGCTTTGGACACCCGGGAGGGAAACATCACAGCCCCCCATTTGTTAATTTCTCCATTTATTATTTATATGGTAGTAAATAAACAGCTCAGCAGAACTGAAACTCTGCATCGGCTTCAACCAGTCAGGCTGGAATCACTCACCCTGTGCCTAAACACTGCATCTGCTCCAAGAACAACAACCTCAGTGCCAGAAGCAGATATGACCTCAAAATGTCCCATGCACTATATTCCCAATGCAGGCTCCCTGTGGATGCAGAGTGATGTCAGAACTGCCTCCTCTACACTGGAATACAAGGAAACTGACTCAGTTAAGATGGACTTATATCTGAAGTTGAAGTTTCTGCGTGAAAATGTGGCAAAAAGAGCCGACAAATTAGGTCCAGGGAACATCACTCAAAAATATTTTCCTTCTTCCTGGGTCTAATTATTAGTACTCAATACGTTGCTTTTTCATAGTTTTGCTATGAAAACTCAATGCTTTCTTCCTGATGTCTGGATAACAGTGTAATTAACACTGAGGGTTTCCTGGAGGTGTGCAATGAATGAAGGTTTAATTAGAGGTAGGTTAGGCCATGTTGCAGATCCACCTGAATGTTCCTCTTAACATTGCCTTTGCATTCATTGGTGCATGTAACGATGCCATTCATCTGGACTGCATCGTAACGCTCCACATCTAGTCACGTTATTTTGTATTTCAAGCCCAGAGAGTAACACCTATATTGTATTTGCAACAGCCCTCTGAACATCCCAGCAGTGCTTTTGATCAGTGTTTCCCAATCTGGTCCTTGGGGGCCCACAGACGGTCCACGTCTGTGCTCTCTCCTGGCACCCATGTGTGAAAGAAATACACTACCTTCTGTGGGTGTAATTTTAAACCTACCAACTTTATTATGCAAAAGAATTACATGTTAGAAATACCATTAATGACAGACATTTCTCCTTAAAAAATTGCTGATAATTCACATTTAAACTTTACTGATAACACCTGGAGTGATTTTGATGAAAGTTGTCAGTGTCCCCTCGTGCAGCTGCTGCCAAGGGGGCCGGGGGGGGGGTACCCCTTGACCTGGCAGGACCCAGAGACGGGGCAGCAACACACGAGTGCCAGAGGAGTCTGACAGAGTCGCCATTTAACACTTTTCTGTTTGGTTTAATAAATATGAGTCTTGTCCACTCTGATTGTACAAACAGCTATAACCTTCTCAAATCCCCAACTGCCAGTTAAAACAGACCAATGCACATTTTAATCTCAATAGAATTCATAGGACAAATTCTTATACTTCTGTAGCAATCCTTGGACACAGATTAAAGAAAAAACCACCAACATTCATTAGTAAAACAATTTACTTCATTCACAGGTCAATCCCATTAAGGTGATGTCTTAAAGGGGAGATATGACACAGAATAAATACTCATTGCTGCAGTTTCCACTCATAAATTGGCGATAAATTTGGCGTCACAGGCTGACATTTTCAAACATGCTGCATGAACATTGCTCCTCAGGAGTTCTTGGGACTCTTCTGGACCTTGAGGTCTGGGCCTGGTTTCTCGAAACCTTCTTAACGCTACGTAATTCGTAAGTTCTATGTTAAAAAATGGAACTTACGAACAATGTAGCATCAAGCAGCCTTTCAGAAACTCACCCCAGGTCTTTAATAAAATATGGTCAACATCAATACAGCACGAAAAATTCGCCGTTCGGACAGACTGGTGCACCCGTTATTAAAAGCTCTGCATCAGGAGATACAAGGGGTTAGATTTATGGGGGGACCATTGGTTTGCACAAGCTCCCTTATGTTCCAAATCTCCCACAATGCTTTGAGAGGCCTTGGTGGAACTCCAGCATACGGGCACCCTCGTACATCTGCCTAGGGACCAGGATGGGTTTTTCTAATCGGCAGCTGCGTGTGGCCCTATACAGCATTTCCAAGTCCATACCCGCAGCGCTGAGCACTCCTCTGTAAGGGATCGCAAACCAGCTGCTCTGGACAGAAATGGCTCATGGGCATCCAGTTTGGGATTTTTAACATCAGTTTGGCAAAGGGAAATTTAAGCTGGGAACCTGCCCTCCCATGTGCACATTAATATCCCCTGCCCTATTAAAATGTTAGGGGTAATGATGGACAAAATGACACTTCATGAACCATATGCTGTACTTTCGGACTCCACTAGATGGTGCTCTCTGTTCAAAAAAGGGCTCAAAGCATGCCCCAAAGTAAACCAAGAGCACCATCTAGTGGGGTCAGAAAAAACAGCAAATGGTTCATGATGCGTCATTTTGTCCATAACTAGTTAGGGGTAAAACAATCCATGTGACTAGTACTGATGGGGAAAAACAAGGTTCTATCCTCCACGTGTTTGAAACCACAAAGAGAGGTTTAATACACTTGCCTGTTTTTACCTTACTAGCTCGAGCTAGGTTAGTCCAGTCAGTGTCTAACAGAGCACTGTGATCACACTCATCCCAGTCTTCAAAACTTGCATTCTTCTATCCATCCCAAATACTGCCTTTACGGGGCTAGCCAACAAGGGGCCCACAATTCTGAAAGGCTATGGCCCCCCTGTCAGCCAGCATTTCATCTGAAATGTGGTCTGTCTGGTATTGCGGCTGTCCAGAGTAAACATCATGAAGCATCATAGGTGTCCTATTCATATACATCCTCTCATATATATATATATATATATATATATATATATATATATATTCCAATCAGCACATTGCTTTTTTTCTGGGTTAAATATCATGTCAATATAGCTAGTCATTTAAAATGATTCTCTTGCAATTACTAAAACAAAATCCATCTACAGAGTCGAATATGAGATGGATTAAAAAAAAAATTCAGACATGAGAACAGTCCAGTTACAAGCAGTGCCATACGCAAATGTGCCGAGCATTTCTTAGGGCAGTGTGTTCATTCACTACCCTCCCCCCAAAATCCCAGAACGCTCCGCAGCACAAACCGCTGAAGGGCTGCAATGCTGTCAGTGTCAGATCTCCAGTCAACCCCTCTGCTGCAGTCTCCGGCTGTATGCCTCCACAGATTGAACTTCGTCTTGAGAGCACCAGGGGGCGCCATGGAGTGTCAGCATCTCACGCAAAAAAAAACACCTTTGTGTAGTGCTTAGTACTACAAGTCTATTGGCACTGAACATGAAAAAAAAACTTCTTATTTTTCCCTTTTGTTCAGTACCACTTAAAAGCATGGAGCATTAAAGTCCCATAAAAGATTCTGTGTGTAGTGTGTGTGTGTGACAGAGAGAGAGAGCTCTACTGCCTCCCACACAGTCCTGTAGGACAGGCTGACCTCCTCCAGCTGTCTGAAAGCAAAGGTGCTCCCATCCTCCCCCAGCAGGAAAGCTCCCCCCCCGGAGGCTCACTGTGGCCGGGGGCGGCGGGAGAGGCCGGTGGGAGAGGCCGGCAAGCTTAGACCGCGAGCTCCGGGCCCCAGCGCGAGTGCGGCGTGAACAGGCGCCGCAGGCGGAGCCCGGCGAAGGGGTTGATCCAGCGCAGTGAGGGCTGGCCTCCGAACACGGCCCGCATGCCCTCCCAGCGCGTGCGGCGCTCCCAAGTGGGCTTCTCGTTTTTCAGCCTCTCGATCTCCTGTGGGCCGGACAGTGCGAGAAAGTGAGCGCAGTGAGGTGCCACACCTGCCGCCGCCCAGCATCGGCCGGCGAGAATGATCCAGTGTCCAGTGAGATGTATAAATAAAATAACGTGACGGCTACATACAAATGCTGACAGTGGTGTAGAACACTTTATAAGTATATATTTGTGTGTGTGTGTGTGTGTGTGTGTGTAAAGCGACCTTGGGACTGTGAAAAGCACTATATATTATTATTAAAATCACAACAAAGAAATTCACTGCAATAATTAATATTTTTAATAAGGTCCAAAATTAAAACTTTCACATACACATACCAACCTGTGCCCAAATACTGCTCAGGAATTTGTCCCCCCTTTCGATCCTCCTGGGGGGTTCGTACTCACCGTCTCGTCGTTGCAGATGGAGTGGATCTGCGTGCCGAACATGACGGCGGTGAAGGTGAGGAAGAGAAGGCCCTCCAGGCAGAGGAAGATCATAAGCAGCACAGCGACCGGCGGAGAGAAGTCGCTGCACTCTAGGAAGGAGGAAGACCAGAGGTCAGCCATGGGCCCTGAGGACTGGGCCGAACCAGCACAGCTCCATGTCCTTAGCGGCCTTCAGATGTTAGGAGGAGAGATTCATGAAGACAGGCATTAAATCCAAGCAGGGCCTGAGGGTGTGTGAACAAGCTGTATTTAATGACAAGCCTGGTCATCTCCAGTCCACCTTCAATTCTTTTTCTTTCCCTCCTTCCATCCATCCATCCATCCATCCAAACTGCACGGCTGCTAACGAACTGTCTCATTTCTGACGCTCTGCACAGCGTCACCACCGGCTGAATCCCGAAGACACGTACCGTTCCACTGCACTTTGACACAGATGAAGAACTGCATTCCACTCAAGCCAAGGGCGTAGATAGAAATCAGGGCTATATACATCTGGAGAGAGAGAGAGAGAAAAAGAGAGAGAGAGAGAGAGAGAGAGAGGGAGGGAGGGAGGGATAAGGAGGTCTGCTAGTCTGCTACACCTTGCAGGCCAGTGAACAGTAACACCTCAGTACGCTGCATTCATCTTCTCTGCATGTGGGGGGGGGGGGGTTTGCTCCAGGGACTCCTCGTTCCTCATGGTGCAAGCCCGAATGAATCCATGGGGAGCTTAAAAAAAAATCACGCTGTAGGGCAGCACAGCTGCTGAAAGACCATAGTGCCGCGAGGGCGACCGCAGTGCCGCGAGGGCGACCGCAGTGCCGCGAGGGCGACCGCAGTGCCGCGAGGGCGACCGCAGTGCCGCGAGGGCGACCGTAGAGGGCTTATTACTGCACTGCTTACTTGACCCATTTTCAGCTACTCAGCAGCACAAAGGAGCCATCGGAGACACTTAATGTTTACCAAACAAACAGCTATTGCATTACAAAGAAAAGCAGACAAACAGGCTCCTACAAGCCTCTGATGTCTGAGGAGGCTTCAGCCTATAGGCTGAGATTTCATTTAAAAGGCATCGCTGCACTTGAAACGTTCTCCTGCAGGCTGCATCCGGACAGCCCGCTACTCAGATAATTAACTTGTTTGTCGCTTTCCTTCCCCGGGTCCTTATTTATATATTTAGGCAGTTATATTTTATCCAGTTTTCTGTTCACGCAGCAACATATTTCTGCAGATTTTTTCTGCATCGCATAAAGCGGGGCGCTTTATAAAATGTGGGCCGACAACTTTCAGCCTGGAAGTCCCTTTGCTTAACCGCTGCCATGGGCTACAAATGCTGGGGGGGGGGGGGGGGGGGTGTTAGCGGCACAGTAGTTTGTAGGCCTTAACAAAAAAGGGAAGTACTACAGGAGACTCAAGATCTGGCCGGAAACAACAGAAAGTCATCAAGTCACATGACATGTAGAGGGCGGGGCAAAGCGCTCACGAACCGTGAACAGGACGAAGAACCTCTGGTTGTTCTCCCCCACGCAGTTGTTGACCCAAGGACAGTGGTGGTCCATCTTGCGGATGCATCTCTTACAGATGCTGTACGAAGGGGGGGGGGGGAGGTTGACACAAGGGGGCATTTACTCACTGCAGACTGGACGAAAAAACAGCAACGCAGCATCATTCCACCGAGCGACACCCCCCCGCCCCGTGCAGTGTACCTGCAGTGGTGGGCTCTCTCCGGCTTAATGCTGCAGCACTTGGGACACTTATAGATGACGTCCCCGGGTTTCAGCTGCAGGCTGTCCATGTACTCCTTGGTGGCGTTGCCCTTGGGTACTGCCCCCTGTGTGAGGGCAGGTCACGTGTGAGGCACTGGGCTGAAATGGAGCCTTGCGACACCACACACGTCCTACTCTGTGGCTTAGGCTGCAGGGGGCACAGTGGGTGCCCTTCCTGCAGAAATTTAGTTTCATGATGGGGGGGGTGGGCAGGAGCGAGGACTCACATTCTCTTAGTCCTTGAAGGCACTAAGCAGTAGGAGGAGTTAAGCTTGTCTGTCACTAACAACAAAGAATGAACAAATCAGACTGTCCCTCATCCCTGCTGCACTGCGTAATTCAGCCTGGCTTCCTCTTCCTCACTTCCTAAAATCAGGGAGAACTCGAGCGTTACACCACAGACATACAGCCTGTCCTAATTAGGCGGTTTATCCGTGCTGACTGAACCACCGCAGGCTGGTGTTGCCCATGTGGCTACATGATGAAGAGGACGGCTGATTTACCGAAACTGACAGGGGCACAAATGTCGTTTAAGCTCAATACACCAACCGACTAATTCTGTCACCCGAGTATGTTGCAAGGTATTCCGAGTATGTTGCGAGGTATTCCGAGTATGTTGCGAGGTATTCCTAGCCTGAATGCCTATTTTGTACACTCGCGAAATGAGTTTAAAAAAAACCTAAGATGCAGTGGTGATTTTACTGAAAATGCAGTAGAACGACATTATCGATTGCACTAAAAGAGGGACAGCGAGTCAGACAGCACGGCAGCCGGATCCGGGCCGCTCACACAGCCTCTGCCTGCCTGCTGTTGGATCGATCCCGACGGTGATGCCAGTGTACTGCCAGTGTACTGCACAGAGCAGCCAGCGGGTAGATGGGCTGTGGCACATGTGGCGTCGAGCCCCCGCTGCACAGGATGCAGCACCGCGATCCACCACTTGCCATCTCCTGGGGCTGCACATTATAGAGCCACAGCAAACCCCGCGGACCTCCGACAGTGCCGACAGTGCACATATGACTCAAGCCTATTAAATATATAATTAATTGGCCAGTCCAGCAGCTGCTGTTGAATCCCAATTGCATCATTAGTATCCTTACTGATGCTGACTGCTACCCAGGCCTGGCTCCATGGGGGGTGGGGCACCCCCAGGCTGATCGGACCCCTCCCTAGCCTCTCCAAAGAGCCCTGTGGGCTAGGCTGGGGTCCTCCACACACGCCAAGTCTGTGTGTGTGTGTGTGTGCGTGTGTGTGTGTGTGTGTGTGTGTGTGTGCGTGTGTGTGTGTGTGGGGGGGGGGTCCCATGACAGATTCTTCCTTTTGCCAGATGGCCAGTCCAGGCCTGGGGCTGCGTCACTGTCCAATAATTTCACTGCACCTATTTTGCATTTTAAACTGCAATTTTGTCTTATCTGGCAAACTGATTGGTCATCAAAATTCTTTAACTTTCCATTTGTCCATTTTTGTTTTAAAATTCAGAATCTATCATGCTAGTATCCTAAGCACTGACTGATCAAACTAAACGAAAGACGAAGATGCATATAAAGCAGCGGCCCGGTGCTGTGCTAGCAGCCTGAGGTGCAGGGATCTCAGATACGAGTCGGCGGAGACCCTGAAGACCTGACCACAGCACAAACGTTCCGATGGCCCATGGAAACAGGTGGAAACAGGCAGATCCTGTGGGAGACTTACTCTCCCTACTGCCACTACTGCCAAGAGCAGCTCCCTGATGGATAGGAATCCCATCCATCTAGGGTAAAAGTCTCAGCATCATCACGGCCAGCTGCCACCACAGTGGGCAGCAATTGGCTGCAGTGGACAAAACTCCTATTGCTGTCGAAACGATTAGCCTGTCAGGCAGTTAATGTTTCTTATTTGAATCTGCGGAGACGCACCCTGTCCTGCCCTAGACTTTATACCCAGCGCATTCTGCCAATGGAATCCTTTAGGCCTACAGGGAGTGAAATACAAACACTACATCATGTGACCAGCCTTCAACCTGCCCTTACAAAGGCTATCTTGTAGCTGCCTCATTCAGGTTCTGCACCGACATCCTCTCTGGACAATCCAGTTGGCTCCACTCACCACCATTAACACCTCACCTCCGCCAAACCAATCAGATTATAGAGGACATCTGATCGGCTGGCCCCGCCTCCTCTAGTTGCTTGGACCCACCTCCTCTACAATCTGATTGGTTATCTGAACCAATTTTTCCTTCTGCACTCGGAACATTTTTATGTAAGTAAAACTCCCATGAGCCACAATTACAACATTCCAAGTCCTGAAAGGGATTTTTAGGAAGACTAGTTGAGCCAAAAAAAAAAAAATTGATTGGGGCCAATCAGAGACGCCTTATAATAAACTGAATCCCACACTAACTCACCGGGTCCGTCAGCATCGTGCGCAGGTGCGAGGCCAGCGCCAGTAAGGCCAGGCCATTGAAAGCCACGCCATTGACCAGGGAGTACCAGAAGCTTTTTGAAGGCAGAAGCATGACGAAGGTGACCACGAAGTCGGCATAGAGCACCAGGAACCAGGTGAGAACCGCACATATCATGCCGCAGCCATCCTGGATGAACCAGACCCGGTCGACGATCCTCGCCGACGCCCCGTGCGCTAGCTCCTCCTCCTGGCCCAGCAGGGGGCGGTGCTGTTCCATGTCATGCAGCCGGTGGCCTGAGGACTGCATTCTAATCTGGGGAGGGAACAAGGAAAGGGGGTTAGAGAAGAAAACGTTGGCAAAGTCACACCAAGGTCTCAGTATCCAGGTATGAGTCAACTAGCTGCACTTTGGACTCACTCAGGTGATGTCAGACTAGTCTTAAGCACCCTATGGCAGTGGTTCCCAATCCAGTCCTCTGGAAACCACAGTCGGTCTACGTTTTTGCTCCCTGCAAGCTCCCTGTCAAACTCAGGGAAACACTCCCCTACAGGGAGAGCCATTCATGTCTTACAGTAAGGACATACGTCTGACTGACAGCTTGTCTGGAAAGACTCTGGACATTACACCGAGAAAGAACTTGACTGCAGTATCAGCAAATGCAGCCCCATCATTAAAAAAAACAGACTTCTAGCGCTACAACAAACAAATATTTTGATAGTATATTGATTATTGAAACCGAATAATCGATTATTCAGATGAATCACCCAGTTACCAAATAACTCTTACTTGGTATCAGCTATCAGCTTTTAAATTTACTTTGAGGTTGTTTCAAGACAATAAAGCTCAAAACTTATTTTTAAAATGCAACCTTTTAATGAATGTTTCTGTTAATACAAAAGATAAATAAAAAAATCCAATATCCTGTTAAATCCGTCCTGTTAAAATTTAAAACCAAGGATAAGCAATGTAGCAGCAGTTAAATGTGCCAAAACAGTATTCCATCTAAATCTAAAATTTAACACTAAGGACAGAAATGTGCTTTCTGTACATTGTGCATTCTGCTGTCTGTCTACACTTCGTTGCAACTAATCTCTACAGTCACACTTCTGTGTTGAAATGGAGGAAAGTCAGCATATGAGGCTGTTTAGGGCAAAATTACTGAAGCACTTGCACATACACATGCTGAATTGGTCCACACCACTGAAACACACACACACACTCAACACTTGCATTAGCCTATACTGTATACATGACATCAGTATAACAGTATAGGTTAATACAAAGCAGATCTCTCACTCTGTGGCTACATCTGTCACTCTCAATCGCTATCAATATGTGGGAGACACTGGGAACCTCTGGAAGAGGTAGTCACTATTTGCATGAGCTAAGACTTAAAACTTACGATAATATTAAACACATTCGATTTTATCTGAACATCAAGACACTAGAAAGACTGACTTAAGACAGCTATTTTGACCACCTTACACCCGACGATCGAGATGACAGAAACATGCTACTTCACGCAACTCCAGTAAAACTTTCATGATTTTGTCCGATGATGGATATTTTTCTGTGATGTTGAAATTTGGAAAAGTCGTTAGGTGTAAGACCAGCATTATCCAACTCCATTAACAATTCAAGTGAATGTGCTTTTCAAAATAGAAAATGTTACAGCTCATAACATGAGTTTTTAATATTAACATTAGCCAACCTGCTAGCTAGCATAACTGACTTGCTAAGATGAGTCTTCTTAATCCAGTGAGCCGACGTCTCCTCTCCAGATGCTCGAGTACAGAGGATGCGCTCCCATGCCAGCTAAGGTCAACTTTACAAATTATGCAACTGGCAACCTTTTTTTTTTGGAGTTTAGCGTGAAATGTTTGCAGACTTCTGAAGTTTTTGTTTTTGAAACTACCATCTCACTTTAACATGTGCAAAGGAGACTAAGGGGGGACATGACCCAGGTCTATAAGATTCTAACGGGTCTGGATGCTGTTCAGCCAAATGGCTATTTCAATATTAGTTTAAATACTAGAACTTGTGGCCGTAAGTGGAAATTAGCGGGAGAACATTTTAAAATGAATTTGAGGAAGCACTTCTTTACACAGCGTGTAGTTAGAGTATGGAATAGTCTTCCTGCTAGTGTAGCGGAAGCTAAAACCCTGGGTTCCTTTAAATCAGAGCTAGATAAGATTTTAACAACTCTGAGCTATTAGTTAAGTTCTCCCCAGACGAGATTGATGGGCCGAATGGCCTCCTCACGTTTGTAAATTTCTTATGTTCTTATGTCATTTAACTTCTCTCTAGTGAGCAGTAACATCAAAACATTTCAAATTAGTGCAAGAAACATTCATGCTGACAATACCAACCAAATTCAACTATTAAATTAGTTGGCAACTAATTTGGTTGTCGATTTTAGTCGATCAAGTCGATTAATTGTTGCACCTCTGCTGATTTCATCAAGAAACTTCCGGGGTCAACTTGAGTGTTCCTTAGAAAAGGGGCCCATAATGAAAGCAGTATGTAGCGTAGTGGAGAAGGAAGTGAAGCATAATGGAATACATCCGAATGGTTTTGGGTTCAAGGCCCTGACAAAAGATTGGGAGTCTTGCTCTTTTAAGATCATTTTTAAAAGTCTAATTTGAGGGCAAAATAAAAAAATAATTATGAATACAGATTAAAGGTGTAAAGATGCACAACACTCACAGTTCAGTACAAACATTGGGTCTGGGTTCATGGTTTGGTGCAATTTTGGTCCAGCACAGAAAAAAAGTTTAAATTTATTATTTTTTTTTTTTACTAACACTGCAAACATGAAGACAACTAGGGTCAGCTGGAAACCAAACAAAAGGCAACATGTTTGTTAATGTGTCTGAATAACAAAACCTAAAAGATTGTAAAAATAAATATGTAAAATAAAACTTAAAAATAAGACTGTCATAAAACTCATAAGTCACCTGCTCTGTAATACTGAGTAGGGGCACATATCTGTGACAACCAACAACTGTACAGCCATAGTTTTAGTTTTAGAATCTCTCTGCGTCTTTAATCTACACTTGTACTGTTTCCGCCGCGGTAACAGCCCCACAGGATATCGCTCTTATCAGCTCCTTTCTCTTCACTGGTGCAATACATTGGCCAACCAAAATGTCCCCAAACTACTGATTATAGTGACAAGGGGGAGTCTTTAAGCAACTTCAGCTTCACCACAACAAATTTAGCCACAGTTAGCATTCAATGCTGAACATCTACATCTGAATTTAGAACCTGCCTGTATCAAGAACAATCTGATTAATCTCCAAAAAGTGTTTCAAAAAGAAAATGATTTACTGACAAATATGTGTATCGTTACGGCCCGAATACAGGTATTTTTGGAGAAGACACAGAGCTGGGAGAACAGAATATTTTGTTCATTTGACCATAATCAGCCCAACCATACTATATATTTCTTGAATATCATCCCACCCCTGACTTGGTTAATTACTCAGCTATTTGCGAGAAGATAAGCTAATGAGAGAGAACAGACCCGCAAACCGCCGGCCGGAGAGGTGTGTGCCGAGGTCAGGGAAGACTGCCCCGAGGTCAGGGAAGACTGCCCTGATGCTAAATGTCTATATTTAGGGCAGATTTTCTTCCCAAAGCCAGTGGGAGGGCATGTAGTTTGGATAAACAAAACAGGGTGGAAATTTTGTAAATTGTGGGGACGGCTGTCCCAGGCTAAGGCAAAGCCATTAGGCATTAGCCTTTTTTCTCCCTCCCCCTCCCCTATAACTCCCCAAACCCTGGATCCCGTTTGGGTCTCTGTGTTCTTTCCACAGCGCTGAAGCTAAAACGGCTCTTCTTGTTTCACTACTTTGTAGTTAAAGTCTCCAAACACTGACAAAGTCCCGCTCCATCCTCCCATCGCCTTAATGCTTGGATCATGAAGGCTCACTATGACCGATTTAAGCGGCCGACTTCACCCAGGCCTGAGCTGAAAAGACAGAAGATGCGCTTTAATTGCCACTGTCGGGCTCTATTACCGAATACCTATGTTCTTTCAGAATGTGCTTAAAGACCCAAGGGGGTGTCTGGGGGGAGGGGGAGAGGCAAGGCTGTCCACAGAAAGACCATGTGGTGCGGAGGTGGGAAAGCGAATCAGCGATTAGGGCAGGCGAGACACTAACCGCCTTCACAGTCCATTTAACCACTTACTCCCTTGGCGAATACTCTGCACACAAAACACACAGGAGCATGAGGCAGCAGGTTTCCTCCAAGGGCATGTTTTATCCCAGGCTGCTCTGCTACACCCCCATTGTCACACCGACCAAACCTCTTCCTCCCAAATGACTCCACCTACTGGAAGCACAAGGTGTTGCATTTCCGTCAAGACCCTAGGAGTTGAGACTAACTCCTCCTCCCCATTCACTGGAAATTAGTTGCCACAGGAACCCATTACACGGCCCCCTTTTCCAAATTCATTGGGGGAGGGCACATTAAATATGAAACTGCTAGTTATCCATTAAGCATCTGGCAGACCAGTGAGGAATCTGCTCAAACGGGTGCAGTAGCAACACAGCCGGGCTCTCAGTGCCAACACACTGGAACCAAAATGGCGGAAACGCCTACGGGTACAAGCAGACAAAGACAGGTCGTGCAGTCAGGAAACCTCAGAAGCCGCTCCGCTCTTTCTCCTTGGCTATGCCAGACGGAGGGACGCCGTGTATAGATTTCATGGAGCCAATGCTCCGGAAAGGTCCTTGGAGTGTCCGGGCAAACTTGGGGCCCTGGGCGGCAGAGCAGCGCTCGCCATTTGGGGCCAAGATGATCCCTGTACACGCCACACGCAGGCAGAGCCTGGGGGCAGCAGTACAGGGGTCAGCAGCAACTAGAACTGCCTGAACAAATGCAGTTCGACGTCCCTGAGTGACCCCATCTTCGACTCCTTCGGCCTTCATACAGTGACTGATCCGGATATATGAACAAAGGATTGGAAATTGCACCAATGGGTAGACCTGTCTCAACAAGAATGGCAGGGCAGCAGCCCTTAACATCTTGCAATCTCCAAACCAATGGAAGCATCAACTGCAGAGACGAGAATAAACCAAGTCAATCAAAGGGAATCAGAGGAATTAAAGCAACCAAGTCAATCGATGCCATTTCAGTGATAATGGGTTTCTAGATCTGCTATTTGTGCGCCGCGAGCCTGCTTAGCACAATTTCTCACTGAGCAAACAGACAACTAAAATCACAGCCCTGAGCACCACACACAAGAGCTCCCACCTTTCCAGCCCAGTGCCTTGCCGTTCTACCTGCTTGGGTCTGCTTTCCTCAGAGCTTCCTTGAAGCTATTATGATAAGGGCCTCTATTCTCAGGCCATGTACTGGACATTAAACACATGCATTGTATCCATATGAGTCACTGGTGATTTCCCCTAAGAAAGAGCTGGCAGCTAATTAAGAGAAGACTCACTGCTTGAGTGCTCTTTGTGAAGGCAGCGCACCCCCAGCGGGACCCCCACCGACAAAGACCTCGGAGACACCACTGTGTCCTAGTACCTTCCAGATAGTGATTAAAGGGAAAGTGCAAATAAACAGAGAATACCAACACAGTCACATGGGCACACAGACACCCACCCACGCAAACACACACACACACACACACACACACACACACACACACACTAAAACAGACCCACCTCTGAGTCCAGGCTTCACAGTGACATGCCGTCTGTTCCACAGGTCTGGTTCAGGGTTGCCACATCCAGAGCCCAAGCACCTGTGGAGAGGCGGACCAGGGGGAGGGGGGTTACTCACACGGTGTGCTATATCTGCGCAGGGCAGGGCTCACTACAGCCCATCTGCTCACCGGCCCTCTCTCCCCGCTGCCACAGGCCAGCCAATCACATGGCGCTCTGAAAGCAGAACAGCTGGCTGGGGATTAAGAAGCAAAACTGTGGCTGTAAGCATGGGGGGAAATGGAAGCGGGAGGCAGACCCAGCTCCCCTCGCCCCCTCTTCCAGGACACAGTCATCCACACATGTACACGAACAGCAGTAAATGTCCCTTCAGCTTGCACTCTCACCAGCAGAGGATTAATAACAAACATAATGGAGGTGTGTTGCATCAAACCATCCACGCTGTTTTGTTACACATTTGTTAAGCAAAAAAAGGCAGATTCAACCACACAGCTGCGGCTTGTGTGACGTCTTCTAAGAGTCAGGTGGCAATCAGAAGGCGTCACAGGGCACCAGGACACATTCGGGGCGACGGCCAAGGCGAGGCGTACGGGGCCCGATCCACAGACCCTCACGCTGACAAACAAGTACTAAATGGCATATGGCAGGAGGCAGCGGGACAGCAAACAAGCTGATTAGCGCTAACTTTCCTTGCCTGGCCTGTCGGGGGTTTGCCCGTCCCGTTACCTATACCAGTGTTTCCCAATTTGCTCCAGACTGGGAAACGCTGGTCTACTGGGACTTGGGAGATAGCAAAAACATGGACTGTCTGGCAGGGAGTTTGGAGGGAGCAAAAATGTGGACTGGCTGCGGGTCCCCGAGGACCGGACAGGGTATAGCATCTGACTGAGAATCGTTGTCCTCGTCGGTGTCCCACAGAGGAACCACCACTGATCCCGAACCCTCGGCAAACCCTGATCCATCATGCAAGAAGCATCATATAAACACACATGTTCAATATTTGCTGATCTTACAGCTTTACACTGCATACGATTCCATCTTCCTGAGATTTGAGAAGTCTAGATGCACACCTTACATAAACACTTCAACAAGGAAAAGTGCACATACAAACCCACATACAATGGCCCAGTGGTAGAAGTTACAGAGGAATTCCAGTTTAGCTTTGAAGCCCTCAATTCATATTTCTTCAGATATCCTCCATTATTTGCTCAAGCACATATAAATCATTAAAAATGATACTAACAAGCAGACAGCACCCAGCCAAATACACAGCAAAGAACTTCCGAGCAAATCTCACGGATTGCAGTGAATATTCTGGCATCATCAAAAAACGATTTACGACATTGAGGAAAAAGGCTGGTCTTCAGATGAAGGCAGGTTTGCGGTAAATGAGGAGCCAGGGGGCCGGGAAGCGCTTCCTGGGGGTTACAGCGATATTCACACCCCGCCTTCATACACGTGTTCGTGTTTGTATTCATTTAATATTTATCATAGCATTGATTTATTAATCGCGCCGATTTGTCTGTTACCATTTCGTTTAACCAGACAGCTTGCGTCCCCCCGCGTCTTAGGCGTGGTTGCCATGACCTCGCGTCGCTTCCCCAGTGGACCCCAAGCGGACTGGAAGTCAAACATCCAGTTCAGCGACCTGGATTTCGGCTTCCTTGGGCAGCACGGCCGACACGCAGGGTGGGGGGAAGCTCATATTCTCTAATGCACCGAAACGACGCGGCGTGAGAACCACCCAAGGCGGCCACGACTCGCACCATCGGCGGCGCTTCTGATTGTCAGGACCCTGTTAGCACCGTCAGGAAAGCTGGCAGCGGCACGTCGGGGTGTTTCATCTCATACCCCCACCCTCGGTACGTGTGTCTCAAGTGCCACAGGGGCTGCTGCCAAGCGAACAAACCCATCATGCACCAAATAACGCGCACAGAACGACCCCTCTCCCGACAACCCACACCAGTCAAGTAAAATAAATTATTTCTAACGACGGAAGGGAAGCATCTCGGTTTTAAAAGCGGAACGGTGGAATCTGACCCCTAATGTTGCATGCTAATGATGCTAGCCTGCTCCAGTGGACCGTCACGTAGTAGGTAACGTAACTAAATACTCACAGCCTGGATGTGAATGCCAGGAGCCTGCGATAGTTAGGAAAAGCTCTTAATTTTTTGTTGCCGCTTCCCTCGGCCGTGTCCCTTTGCAGAGATTAAGTAAAAACGTTTTGGTGTGTGTCATTGTTTTTCCCCAGCGGTGGCCGGAGCGGACTCACACACTTCCGGGATTCTCTTCGGCTCTGCTTGGGATTGGCGCTTCGTATATTTCCGGTCACAATCGGCTATGTTCGGAGGACGATTCTGCAAGAGGTACTGCTTACTAAAGCAGGGTATTATGCAGACATTTACGCTGATTGCTCGTACCCTGAGGGAGTGTCTGCCTGCATCTGCACCCCTGATTGGGAATTATTACGAGCACCATCAAGAAATGTACCATATGAAAACAAGTCATGTAAATGCACCCATACATATCCTGGCTAGCATCTTTGGGTGGGGACCTCGAGGTTATCCCAGGCAGCAAAGAGCACGAGGCAGAGGCACATCCTGGACAGAATTCCAGGATGTGCAAGGAACACACGTGTCAGATGAATTATTTGCATAATTAAAATTAAACTAAATCAAATGCAGATTTTTTTCCCCTCATGTCTAACTACAGCTTTCGTGAAAGCTTGCCAGCTTATTTAAGGAAAGCTGAAAAAGCTCCACTTGAAACTGCAGAATGTAAAGCTGAGTATAGTGAGGTATGTTTTCCATCTGTAGGGAACCATGCAGCACTCAGTGCTTCCAATCCATCCTCAGATCAAAGTCCTACACTTACAATTAACATGTCAGAAACCTGCGTTTTTATTTATTCACAATCTACCTCCTACTGCTAAAAAAAATTCATCACAGTTGGGGCCAGGGATTATTACCAAGGTTTAAACTGCTTAACGGAATTTCTCTGCAACCAAAATAAGTATATAGGCATGTGCAAACATTTTCCTAATTTTTTATTAGATTTATAAACAAAAATATTCTACATAGGTAAAATTATTTTCAAAATACACATCAAAGTTAATTTCAACAGGGAGCTAATAATTTCTGTGCACAATTTTACTACTGCCCCATCTAATTTTTGTATGTCAAGAATCTAGCGAAGGCAGAATTTTAAATGATCCTGCTAGCTAATGCCAGGTATCTCCAAGCCCAGAGTATCCTTCAAGCTGATGTGTCCGAAATGACATTTGATCCTCGTTAAATAATGACAAAGGCAATTTTTTACAAATGATTGGTCGTCTGTTCAACCGGTGGGACATACATTTAAAAAATAAGCAGTCAGGGGAAAACTGAAAATGTTAAACATGCCCTAGAGCAGCCTGGCATTCAGCAGCATGGGTCAATCCATGCCAGGCACCTACAAGTCATTCTTTTTAAATACTTCAGTGCAACACAAGTCCATAAGATTGACACCTCCAACCTTACATGCCATTTAGGGAATATTCAGAGGAAACTGCTTCACAACAGTGCCCTCTTTGGATGTTCATGGCAATGCACAGCTTATCATTCACAAACCTGTACTGTAAGTACACCAGAAATATACACTCCCACAACACCAAATAAAAGTGAAGTGATTCTTCCTTTTACATGAGTTTATTATAGGTTATTTTGGCACAAAATTAAATAAGGCACATTCATTTGCTTAAAAATAAAATGACTAAATAAAACCGTATAAAAATAACCATGATTCTCCATCTGATTAGTGCAGAGAAATGACACCAATTTAACTACTTTTATAACAGACCACATCAAGTACACAGGAGAAAACCTTTTTATTTTTCACGACTTGACAAGTAATGTGTGCAAGATTTCTCTGAAAAGGGTCACCATCATTCTGTGGAGAGATCACTGCACATATTTCATTGAAATATGCAATACCTTTTTCCGCAAGACATTCGTTCCATTGCTATAAAGCCCCTGTTGCAGGTAACTGGTCAGTGGATATATTTTTTAACCATCACGCCAGCTGCTATTCTGTAAACAAACAAAAAAGCCATCCCCACGGTGACAGAATAAAAGGGGGGGGATGTGCTTTTATTTGCTGTTTAGCTGTAAAAATCAAAGCCCACAAAAGAAAAATGTTATTCAAACCGAAGTTACATCTCTGGTAAAGACGAATTTCAAACAAAATTGCCTTGAATGATCAAGAGAAATGTATTTTATATATTATTGGCAATGTGACGCGGTTACTGTAACTGGAACATTCAAGTTGGGTCAAAAACATTCAGGGAACTATGACGTCCTGTGATGATTCTGTGTTTTTCCAGTATACCGAAGCACTTCCTATGAAATGTTAAGAAACATAATGTGTGTCATATTATGTTTTGCAAGATTTTTTATTTTTAGTAGACAGTGCAGATTTGTGTGTTTAAGAGGTTGTTCTGCTCTCTCACTACACACTGGATGTGGTGTGGAAAGTGGCATGTGAGTGGGAGGCAGACACTCTCTCCTATTATACAGAGATCGTGGGTGAGATGGGATCCAGGCGGCCGCAGGCCTGCAGTAACACTGGGATCTCTGAAGGCTCCCTCCTGCATTCTCCTCGGGCTGCCGCAGGCCTGCAGTAACACTGGGATCTCAGAAGGCTCCCTCCTGCATTCTCCTCGGGCGGCCGCAGGCCTGCAGTAACACTGGGATCTCTGAAGGCTCCCTCCTGCATTCTCCTCGGGCGGCCGCAGGCCTGCAGTAACACTGGGATCTCTGAAGGCTCCCTCCTGGATTCTCCTCAGGCGGCCGCAGGCCTGCAGTAACACTGGGATCTCTGAAGGCTCCCTCCTGCATTCTCCTCGGGCTGCCGCAGGCCTGCAGTAACGCTGGGATCTCAGAAGGCTCCCTCCTGGATTCTCCTCGGGCTGCCGCAGGCCTGCAGTGACGCTGGGATCTCTGAAGGCTCCCTCCTGCATTCTCCTCGGGCGGCCGCAGGCCTGCAGTAACACTGGGATCTCTGAAGGCTCCCTCCTGGATTCTCCTCGGGCTGCTGGCTTCTCACGCCTTTCTTCTCTGGTTTTTGAGTTGGTGCAGACGAGTTCTAGAGCTGTTCCATAAATGCAATGCAACAGCAACTGCTTCTTTTAAACACCAACCCTGAGAAATACTGTGATTTCCAGAATAAGTGAGTCTATAAAAAGAAAAGAAACACAGAAATACACGTTGCCCATCTAAAACTGTTAAAACTGACTAAGTGTGTGGGGGGGGGGCAGGGTCTAGTGTCCCATTTCTTCCTTATAAGCTCCCCGATGTGGCTCTGGGTGTAACGCTACGCTACTCCGCCAAAGACTGCTACGACCACGAGGAGACATAGATGGGACGGGAGACGAGCGCAGGAGGTCCGTCTCGCGTTGCTTTTCATGTCACTTCCCTTTTTGTGAAAGCGTAGAGACAGCGCTTTGGGGGGGGGGGGAAGAGGCAGATAACGAGGCCTTTCTCTGCTGTGGCTACGGGGCAATCGTGGGACCAAAGGTGCCTCGTATGTGACGTATATTTCAAGCACGTTACCCCACTGCGTGAGGCATGTTGGAGGGTAGTGGTCTGTGACTGATGAGATGCCTCACAGTGTTTTTGAAGCCACATTGTCCATTATGTGGCCTGGGGGCTCGAGACCACTGTGCTCCGGCTGCCCATCTGGCCAAGTTTCCCCATTGACCTGCTGGAGTGAGAGCGAAGGGGGGGCCTGTGGAGCGTTGCCAGTGTCCATGCTGCCCCTGCGTGCCAGTGCTAACCCCCCTGTGTGGGAGTCCTGTTCCAGTGCGACCGTGTGACTGCGACTCAGAGTCTTGCTGCGCGAGCTGGGCCTCTCCCAGGTGTGATCTTGGGCCGGGGGCAAGAGGCTGCTCTTCTCCAGCGTGCCCCCCCTTGGTCGAAGCCGCTCTCTCTCCAGTCTGCCGTCAGTCTGGCAAGAAGCAGCCAAGGTCTGGGGTCAGGGGTCAGGGGTCAAAATATCATATTCACACCCTCATTTATTTCAGCTTACACTTCTGTGTTTTGCATATGTGTCATATATATATCCGGCAAACAAAATAATAATTTTTTAAACAATGTTTTCAAAGCCGGAGCCCATGATGCCCTAATGACAACCCTTTGGTGACTCTGACTCCACTGAAGTCCCATCCAAAGGACAGGGCTGTGACCAGAACCTCACAGTTCTTTGTTTAATGCTGAAAACTCTTCCAGTGTACAAATATCAGTCAGATGGTCAGAAGGGACAATTACCTGGATCAGCGTCGCTGAATCCAGAGATGGGGCGGTCATGTCTCTTAGCATGGCTCTTTTCAGCTGCTGCACGCTGGGGCGGGGGGGAGATGACAAAGTAATCTCAGTCACAACTTCTTTATAATCATTCACCTCAATGCTGATTTACTTCTGGCTGTAAATGAGCGAATCATGGGAGAACTCAGGCTTTGTAGCCTGGAGCAACACTGCCATTCACTGCTTGGTTTAACACAAAGACAAGCAGTAAAGGAAGCAGTGAAGACTGGGTTAGAACAACTCACAGTGTCTCACAGTGCATGATAAACTCACCCACTGTCAGCTGCAAAGCCTCGTCGCTCTCCTCACTACTGTACTTACGAACAGACTGCCATAAAGCCTATTATATGCTGAAAATTTGAATACAATAGTTCATAATAACGAAGGCAGGTACTGTTTTGTGATGCTCGTGAAAACGTGTGGCTTGAGTGGTTCGTTGGCTTGAGGTACAGTGCTGTATGTATTTTGAGTGTTACTGTATTAAATAAATAAATAATTTGTAGAGTATTATTATTGTTCCGACTTACCTACACATTCGCCTTAAAAATAGACTTGTGGGAATGGATCTTGTTCATAACCCTGGTGACTGCCTGTAGTTTAAATGTAGACCTACTTGTTTTTTCCACCAGGAGGAGCCATTGAGCCATAAGTGCAATCACCTAGAGGAGCCATAATCCTATTTTCACTACCATCATTGTGGTAGAGCTGTCTATCTGTGCTGCCTGGAAGTGGACTAACACCCGTCTGAGATGCCCCCCCCCCCCCCCCCACCAGCTCTGCCCTCACCGTTGGATGGACTGCTCTGTGTCCCGCCGGCGGCCGCGGGGGTCGTCCAGGGCTTTCAACCGCTGCATGATCGATTGCGCTAATGATCGGGGAGAGGGAGCATTAGAGGACTGAGGCGGAGGCAGGTTCATGATGTACTGCTGACAGAGAACAAAAGCAGCGAGGAACTCTGCAGTATGAACACTGACACGGCCATGTCTGCATGCCCCAAATAAAGGCTCCCCCAGGACGGTTAAGTCATTCACCATTCTTCAAAAGAAACTGATGTATCCCCAAAAAACGTGAGAATCGATGCAAACACACGTCACACACAGAGCGCCTGCTGGAGACACAACCGCTAACTCGCCCATCACTAAAATGTCAAGCATTTTAATGAAAAACCGCCAACTGCTCCATGGACTGCAATAGGCTTCCTCCTGCTGGTTGTCATTGGATTGTGGCGGACATCAGCGCAGGTACTCACTCTTCCCCAGAGCTCCTCGGGGCACAGACAGCACCTGGATCGGGTTCTCCTCTGGGGAAAGTCCAGACGCTTTCTGAAGAATCCTCACAATCTCTAAGTTCTGTGGACGAAAGCAAACACGTCTGATGACACCATGCTGCTGGGTCTAATAACACAGTAGTTTTGCATACAGGTGTGAGAGTCTGAGAGTGTGTGTGTGTTGCATGAAAAATTGAGAAAGTGACCTTATATCTACGACTGAGTGTGTGTGGACGCAATGAGAGGATGTGTAAGTTCAGGTGTGTGTCTGCATCCTGACTGTCAGTGTTCTCTGCTCACAGGGTGTCCAATACTTGCAGAAACCTGAAATTCACTCCAGGTTAAAGTCAAGCTTCACCCTGATTCCCGTTTGGAGGAACCGCACCAGTGGTTCAGCCACGCAAATGGCAGCAATGAAGGAGAATCACTAGTGTTCACTTTCCCCTCACCGCTGTCCCTAACTACCACACATCAGGCTAGCAGGTGCACGCCACGGGAAAACTGAATATAATGTAACCTGAATAGTGACGTCACACTGGGTGACAATTCAGTATTTCAGGGCCTAAAATGCTTCTGCTTCATGAAATGGCTGACAGGTGCATGTCCAAGGCACAGCCATAAGGATGGAGAGGACCTAAGTCATGGTCCAGACGTAAGCCGTGATAGGCCGTCATCATCACCATCAGAGACTCAGTGACGTATGCAGCCTGACGTTAGCACACGCAAGCGGCTGTCTACGCAGAATTAATCACAGCCATCAAAGGACTGTTTAGTGTGGCAAAAGCTTGGCTTTGTGCTCCATTTGCAAGGTCATTTAATGCAATGTGCTTGAGGACAGCAGACAGGAAGGGGCAAGGAGAACATCTCCATTCTGCAAGTTCAGCAAGTGTGCAAGATCATCTGTCTTGGGGGGGGGGGGGGGGGATGCAAAAGCTTGCAGGAAGAAACCAACTAAGGGGGCTGGTTACAGCAAGCTGGGGGCACAAACCAGAAATGGTGACTGAGTTTCCCTTTGTGAGGACTGAAAAACGTCCCCACAAACTCAAAATAATAGGTTATCATCACATTGTAGGGACCAAATATATACATGACCACACACACACAAGCGTGTGTGTGTGTGTGTGTTTCAGCAGGTCCCCTCAATATAAATCTCTTTTTTTAAAAAAATAAAAAAAAAAATCTATGAATGCAATCAAAAAACTGAAATGGCCAGAAATCTTGTATTTTGTTTGGTTACTTAAGGTTAGGGGCCGGGTAGGGGCTAAGGTTGTCATAGTTAGGGTTAGGGTTATGACCACTGAAATGAATGGAGAGTCCCCACAAAGATATGAATATGTGGACTGTGTATGTGTGTGTGTGTGTGTATATACACACACACGTGTGCGTGTATATACACACACACGTGTGCACTACCTTGCCCCCCATCTCCAGGGCACAGTCCAGGGCCGTCCTCTGCCTCTTGTTCCGGAGGTGGGCCAAGGCCCCAGCCTTCACCAGCAGCTCTACCAGGCCCAGGTGCCCGCCCTTGACGGCCTCGTGCAGTGCCGTGCTTCCCTGCTGGTTGGACACGTTCACCAACGCACCGCTCTGGGGAGCCGGACACGGGGTCAGAACCTTCAGCTGTGGCGGCCGGTTTAAGCACTAGCTTACCCTCCTCCAAACTTAACTGCCACCAGCTGTACTGTTCAAACTGCGCCAGGGGAACAATGCTGAAGTCTTCCCTGAAGCAACACACATGCAAACCCCTACTAGAGTTTGGCATCCCTGCCTGTAAAACCACCCAACTACCAGCATGTGTCACAGCGATTAAGCCCTGCCGCCGTACCAGCGACTTGCTGCAATACCACATGCAGCTATAGGAAGCTGCAGATGTGTAACAGCTGGAGAAATTGAAAGAAACGAAATGGGAGAATCACCGTGAGCAGGACCCTGGCCGCTTCGAAGTGGCCCCTGAGGCAGGCGTGTATCAGGGGGGTGTTGCCGAACTGGTCTCTCTTGTTCAGCTTGGCATTGCACTCCAGTAGTAGGGTCACCACCTGTGGGCAATCGCAGAGTCCGACTCACTATGAGAGTCCAAGGTCCATGAAGGTACCTCCTACTGAAGGGTATGTGGAAACTGGAGACCTTCAACCAAACCACGGCTGACTTATTAAAGTCAGAATTTGGGGTTCTAAATAATTAGACCCAGCAGAGGGAGGTTCATAGAGAGTCGGACCCCAAAGCTCTTCCTGAGTATGGCTCCGCCCCAGATTTGTTGATTAGCTGAATTATTCTGGCCACAGAACAGAACAAGAATAGCTGAAGTTCCCCATGAGACTGAATGACATGGGCAGGTGAGAATAGAGCGCTGAGGTGACCTGGAGGTGGCTGTTCTGGCAGGCCAGATGCAGCGGGGTGGCACTCTGCCCGTTGCGGGCGTTGACATTGGCGCCGTGACGGGTGAGCAGGGAGGTGAGGCCGGCGTGTCCATGCAGTGCCGCCACGTGGAGGGGAGTGAAGCCGTCGGCTGTGCTGCTGTTCACGCCCAGACCGCTGGCCTGCAGGCTGGACAGCTTCTGAAGACACACATGACCAGGAGTCCATCCAGATCACCAGAACGTTTACTACCCGATGGTGTTTCTGCATTGATGTCTTGTCAGAACAGCTCGAGTTACCAATTTAGTTATGCAGAAGTAGATCAGAGAGTCCAGCTACTCTCACATTACTGACAGTCGCATAACTGTACTAGACATAGTTTTGTGGTTGACATCACCAAATGCGTGAAGGACGGACATCTGCACAGACCTTCTGTGAGGGCTCGCACTGCGTGCACTGGCACAGCGGGTGGCACAGCTCAGTTTGTGGTGGTGGCGGTCCTGCCTCCTCGTCCTCCGGGTCCTCGTCCAGCCACTCCAGAAGGTACCGCACCTGCCGCACCGTGCACAGTTAAAGTAACGCTAACGGCACTGGCTGTGCGTGAAGGTGGTGCTAATGCACGTTAATGACAATGTGCGCGTGTTTAGGGAACGCTAACTATGCTGGGGATGCACACATGCTATGCTAACTGACAGTTGCTACGCTAACATGCAGACACAGACAACACACATTATTCTGTTATAAAAACTGTGCTACATTTTCATTGTCCCCTACTGGTCTTTTCAGAGTGTGATGTTAATGCCTGCTGTTCCTCTCCCTTCTTGCTCACTGGATTGGTCTGCAAGGGCAGCTGGCGCCGAGGTCCAGTAACCCAATTCCATCTTACTGCAAACCCACAGGAACGCAGCTCATGGCACCGATCACGGTAAGGTGCAGCATCTGGAGGTCCTTTGACCTCTGACCTTTGACCAAACATCCCACAGTAAATCTCACCTAGAGCCATTTAGAGGGGATTTTCTTGTAATCCTGTAAGGCTGAAATGGCGGCTTTGCAGCAGGTTATAGACCCACCCTGCTGCTTTCGCTCACTCACTACAATACTCACTACAATACTCCACAACACAGCTGTCTAGCCATTTCCTGTATGGGACACCCTACTACAATACTCCACAACACAGCTGTCTAGCCATTTCCTGTATGGAGCACCCAATGTAAAACTGCAGGCTATGCATGTGCTTGTAGTTATTATTATTATTAACAACAAAACAACAATAATAATATTAATAATGATATTAACAACAACAAAACAACAATAATAATAACAACAATACAACCTATCTTGTGGGTATACCACATCAATAAAGTACTGTGAAAAACTGTAAAATACGTTCAAATTAGGCCTGGGTGGCATTACGATAATACAGTTTTTCTGGGTATACCACGGTATTACATAGAGGATACCACCCATGCCTAGGTCCAATAGGGCTGTGTTTGATGAATGTGTCATGTGACCACACTGCAGCGGCACACAGTCTCTGCTCCCATTTACCATGAAGCTGAGCCATGGCAGATGCTCCTTTGTGTAGGGGAGGCTTGGGGCTGAGGCCACCCCCATACACTGAGGCGCTAGTGCATACCCTAACAGAGGCAAAGTGGCTTCCGATCACCTGTCTCAGTCTACGGTTAAGATCACTGCCTCCAGAAGACCGTCTGGTGTGCATCAGGAAGGGGGAAGGTCAGTATGACTCACACCTGCAGCTGCACACCCCCCACGATGGCATACTGAGCCCTACAGAGTGCTTTGAAATATCTCAGCACCCCCTACCTCAAAGTCTGAGACCCTCTGAGAGGAACACTAACACCTGCCTATGCTCAATAACCACCAGCAGCCTGGGATTGCTCCTGTCCCCGGCTTTTACAGGATGACCCTTAGTATGCACTCTACATGGGCAGCCAAGCAGACTCTGTCATCTTCCTCGTTCAACAGTAACACATGTAACCCCGCCTGGGTTTCCTGCACCCCAGCCAGGAAAACAGCCTCGCAGTCAATCAATGTTGTCATCAGCTACTTCTTGTATTCTGTAGTGTAAGTTTGCCTCCACATCCATTTGGGGTGTGCACAGTATATATGTCTGTTTAGTGTGTGTGTCTGTGTGTGTGAGATGAGGTTTATTCAGGGTGGGATCTCACCATCTCCACGTCTCCATCAGCCACAGCCCGCAGAAGCTTCTCCACCTGAGCAAAAGAGAGTATGGAGTCAGAATGGGCGTCCCTTCGGCGCGTGCCACAGGAGTCAGAAGGGGCGTCCCTTCGGCGCGGGCCACAGGAGTCAGAAGGGGCGTCCCTTCGGCGCGGGCCACAGGAGTCAGAAGGGGCGTCCCTTCGGCGCGCGCCACAGGAGT